AAGGGTAGGTCGTTACTCATTAGGTTCTGTAAGTGTATGTCTGGATACAAGGGTAGGTCGTTACTCATTAGGTTCTGTAAGTGTATGTCTGGATACAAGGGTAGGTCGTTACTCATTAGGTTCTGTAAGTGTATGTCTGGTTACAAGGGTAGGTCGTTACTCATTAGGTTCTGTAAGTGTATATCTGGATACAAGGACAGGTCTTTACTCATTAGGTTCTGTAAGTGTATGTCTGGATACAAGGGTAGGTCGTTACTCATTAGGTTATGTAAGTGTATGTCTTGATACAAGGGTAGGTTGTTACTAATTAGGTTAAGTAAGTGTATATCTGGATACAAGGGCAGGTCGTTACTCATTAGGTTCTGTAAGTGTATGTCTGGATACAAGGGTAGGTCGTTACTAATTAGGTTCTGTAAGTGTATGTCTGGATACAAGGGCAGGACGTTACTCATTAGGTTCTGTAAGTGTATGTCTTGATACAAGGGTAGGTCGTTACTCATTAGGTTCTGTAAGTGTGTGTCTGGATACAAGGGTAGGTCGTTACTCATTAGGTTCTGTAAGTGTATATCTGGATACAAGGGCAGGACGTTACTCATTAGGTTCTGTAAGTGTATGTCTAGATACAAGGGTAGGTCGTTACTCATTAGGTTCTGTAAGTGTATGTCTGGATACAAGGGTAGGTCTTTACTCATTAGGTTCTGTAAGTGTATATCTGGATACAAGGGTAGGTCGTTACTAATTAGGTTCTGTAAGTGTATGTCTGGATACAAGGGTAGGACGTTACTCATTAGGTTCTGTAAGTGTATGTCTGGATACAAGGGCAGGTCGTTACTCATTAGGTTCTGTAAGTGTGTGTCTGGATACAAGGGTAGGTCGTTTCTCATTAGGTTCTGTAGGTGTATGTCTGGATACAAGGGCAGGACGTTACTCATTAGGTTCTGTAAGTGTATGTCTGGATACAAGGGTAGGTCTTTACTCATTAGGTTCTGTAAGTGTATATCTGGATACAAGGGTAGGTCGTTACTCATTAGGTTCTGTAAGTGTATGTCTGGATACAAGGGTAGGACGTTACACATTAGGTTCTGTAAGTGTATGTCTGGATACAAGGGTAGGTCGTTACTCATTAGGTTCTGTAAGTGTATGTCTGGATACAAGGGTAGGTCTTTACTCATTAGGTTCTGTAAGTGTATGTCTGGATACAAGGGTAGGTCTTTACTCATTAGGTTCTGTAAGTGTATGTCTGGATACAAGGGTAGGACGTTTCTCATTAGGTTCTGTAAGTGTATGTCTGGATACAAGGGTAGGTCGTTACTCATTAGGTTCTGTAAGTGTATGTCTGGTTACAAGGGTAGGTCGTTACTCATTAGGTTCTGTAAGTGTATATCTGGATACAAGGACAGGTCTTTACTCATTAGGTTCTGTAAGTGTATGTCTGGATACAAGGGTAGGTCGTTACTCATTAGGTTATGTAAGTGTATGTCTGGATACAAGGGTAGGTTGTTACTAATTAGGTTAAGTAAGTGTATATCTGGATACAAGGGCAGGTCGTTACTCATTAGGTTCGGTAAGTGTATGTCTGGATACAAGGGTAGGTCGTTACTAATTACGTTCTGTAAGTGTATGTCTGGATACAAGGGCAGGACGTTACTCATTAGGTTCAGTAAGTGTATGATTTGATACAAGGGTAGGTCGTTACTCATTAGGTTCTGTAAGTGTGTGTCTGGATACAAGGGTAGGTCGTTACTCATTAGGTTCTGTAAGTGTATATCTGGATACAAGGGCAGGACGTTACTCATTAGGTTCTGTAAGTGTATGTCTAGATACAAGGGTAGGTCGTTACTCATTAGGTTCTGTAAGTGTATGTCTGGATACAAGGGTAGGTCGTTACTCATTAGGTTCTGTAAGTGTATGTCTGGATACAAGGGCAGGACGTTACTAATTAGGTTCTGTAGGTGTATGTCTGGATACAAGGGTAGGTCGTTACTCATTAGGTTCTGTAAGTGTATGTCTGGATACAAGGGTAGGTCTTTACTCATTAGGTTCTGTAAGTGTATGTCTGGATACAAGGGTAGGTCTTTACTCATTAGGTTCTGTAAGTGTATGTCTGGATACAAGGGTAGGCCGTTTCTCATTAGGTTCTGTAAGTGTATGTCTGGATACGAGGGTAGGTCGTTAGTCATTAGGTTCTGTAAGTGTATGTCTGGATACAAGGGTAGGTCGTTACTCATTAGGTTCTGTAAGTGTATGTCTGGATACAAGGACAGGTCTTTACTCATTAGGTTCTGTAAGTGTATGTCTGGATACAAGGACAGGTCTTTACTCATTAGGTTCTGTAAGTGTATGTCTGGATACAAGGGTAGGTCGTTACTCATTAGGTTCTGTAAGTGTATGTCTGGATACAAGGGTAGGTTGTTACTCATTAGGTTAAGTTAGTGTATGTCTGGATACAAGGGTAGGTTGTTACTAAGTAGGTTCTGTAAGTGTATGTCTGGATACAAGGGTAGGTCGTTACTCATTAGGTTCTGTAAGTGTATGTCTGGATACAAGGGTAGGTTGTTACTCATTAGGTTAAGTTAGTGTATGTCTGGATACAAGGGTAGGTTGTTACTCATTAGGTTCTGTAAGTGTATGTCTGGATACAAGGGTAGGTCGTTACTCATTAGGTTCTGTAAGTGTATGTCTGGATACAAGGGCAGGACGTTACTAATTAGGTTCTGTAAGTGTATGTCTGGATACAAGGGTAGGTCGTTACTCATTAGGTTCTGTAAGTGTATGTCTGGATACAAGGGTAGGTCGTTACTCATTAGGTTCTGTAAGTGTATGTCTGGATACAAGGGTAGGTCGTTACTCATTAGGTTCTGTAAGTGTATGTCTGAATACAAGGGTAGGACGTTTCTCATTAGGTTCTGTAAGTGTATGTCTGGATACAAGGGTAGGTCGTTACTCATTAGGTTCTGTAAGTGTATGTCTGGATACAAGGGTAGGTCGTTACTCATTAGGTTCTGTAAGTGTATGTCTGGATACAAGGGTAGGTCGTTACTCATTAGGTTCTGTAAGTGTATGTCTGGATACAAGGGTAGGTTGTTACTCCTTAGGGTAAGTAAGTGTATGTCTGGATACAAGGGTAGGTTGTTACTAATTAGGTTATGTAAGTGTATGTCTGGATACAAGGGTAGGTCGTTACTCATTAGGTTCTGTAAGTGTATGTCTGGATACAAGGGCAGGTCGTTACTCATTAGGTTCTGTAAGTGTATGTCTGGATACAAGGGTAGGTCGTTACTCATTAGGTTCTGTAAGTGTATGTCTGGATACAAGGGTAGGTCGTTACTCATTAGGTTCTGTAAGTGTATGTCTGGATACAAGGGTAGGTTGTTACTCCTTAGGGTAAGTAAGTGTATGTCTGGATACAAGGGTAGGTTGTTACTAATTAGGTTATGTAAGTGTATGTCTGGATACAAGGGTAGGTCGTTACTCATTAGGTTCTGTAAGTGTATGTCTGGATACAAGGGCAGGTCGTTACTCATTAGGTTCTGTAAGTGTATGTCTGGATACAAGAGCAGGTCGTTACTCATTAGGTTCTGTAAGCGTATGTCTGGATACAAGGGCAGGTCGTTACTCATTAGGTTCTGTAGGTGTATGTCTGGATACAAGGGCAGGACGTTACTCATTAGGTTCTGTAAGTGTATGTCTGGATACAAGGGTAGGTCTTTACTCATTAGGTTCTGTAAGTGTATATCTGGATACAACGGTAGGTCGTTACTCATAAGGTTCTGTAAGTGTATGTCTGGATAAAAGGGTAGGACGTTACTCATTAGGTTCTGTAAGTGTATGTCTGGATACAAGGGTAGGTCGTTACTCATTAGGTTCTGTAAGTGTATGTCTGGATACAAGGGTAGGTTGTTACTCATTAGGTTCTGTAAGTGTGTGTCTGGATACAAGGGTAGGTCGTTACTCATTAGGTTCTGTAAGTGTATGTTTGGATACAAGGGTAGGTCGTTTCTCATTAGGTTCTGTAAGTGTATGTCTGGATACAAGGGCAGGACGTTACTCATTAGGTTCTGTAAGTGTATGTCTTGATACAAGGGTAGGTCGTTACTCATTAGGTTCTGTAAGTGTGTGTCTGGATACAAGGGTAGGTCGTTATTGATTAGGTTCTGTAAGTGTATATCTGGATACAAGGGCAGGACGTTACTCATTAGGTTCTGTAAGTGTATGTCTAGATACAAGGGTAGGTCGTTACTCATTAGGTTCTGTAAGTGTATGTCTGGATACAAGGGCAGGACGTTACTCATTAGGTTCTGTAAGTGTATGTCTGGATACAAGGGTAGGTCGTTACTCATTAGGTTCTGTAAGTGTATGTCTGGATACAAGGGCAGGACGTTACTCATTAGGTTCTGTAAGTGTATGTCTGGATACAAGGGTAGGTCTTTACTCATTAGGTTCTGTAAGTGTATATCTGGATACAAGGGTAGGTCGTTACTCATTAGGTTCTGTAAGTGTATGTCTGGATACAAGGGTAGGACGTTACTCATTAGGTTCTGTAAGTGTATGTCTGGATACAAGGGTAGGTCGTTACTCATTAGGTTCTGTAAGTGTATGTCTGGATACAAGGGTAGGTCGTTACTCATTAGGTTCTGTAAGTGTATATCTGGATACAAGGGTAGGTTGTTACTAATTAGGTTAAGTAAGTGTATATCTGGATACAAGGGTAGGTCGTTACTCATTAGGTTCTGTAAGTGTATGTCAGCACGTGCAATTTTACGAATACTTGGAAAAGCTGTTGGGTGCTTTTGGGCCACTGCACGTGCATCTTTATGGCCAACGCATTGCATATTGGAAATTGAGTTTGCAGATCTTGGGCAACTGTTCTAAGCCTGATACCATTTTGCTCACTTTGATAGTTTCGGGGAAGAAATCAATTGTAAAGTGTATACTATCTTTTGCCCATGCGTTTAATTCAGAAAGAAGATTGGTTACACATGCATATTTGTATATTTCAGGGTATATCATGCTTATTACAATAACTCTGTGTTTCCTGACGTTTGCCTCAACTAAAGGTAACACCCTTATGTTTTCACTGTTCATGACTTGACCTAACATGAAACGTAGCTGAATCATTACAGGACTAAATGACCTAATGATTACGACCTTCTCGGGTCTTTGAGGTCACATAACACTCTCTTATATAACCTGGATCTCTTAAACTTGTTCTTTTGTTCTTTGCAACCTCCACAATACAAGTAATTGATGGAATAAAACACATTCCTCACATTATATTGCAATGCCGGTATCTATACTTCTCAAGATGTATTTTACAGCAGCTCGTTGTGTGGAATATCCCCACTGTTCAGTCTGTAACTTGGGGAAAACCGCCTGTACATCATGTGACACTGGATACTACGGCAACACATGTGACTCAGTCTGCAGCAACGGCTGCAGAAACAGAACATGTGTACTTACAAGTCTAGGTATTGAAAGCTGCGCTGAAGGCTGTGTGTCAGGCTTTCGAGGCCAAAACTGCAAAGTACCTTGCACTCCACCTCCAGAGATATGCTCGGCCTGTTCAGGTGGGTGTGAGGGAGGGTACTGCCAGCTCGGCTCCTCCTGTGTGTCTGGATGTAAGGACGGCTTCTATGGTTCCGGATGTAAAAACTGCTCCAGTGGATGTAAAACTTGCAACAGGGTTAATGGGACGTGTGACGAATGTCATCCGTCATATTTTGGATTAAATTGTACATATTTGTGTGATCACTGTCAAGGTTCCTGTAAGTTTGGATGTGAAGACGGCTGTGTACCTGGATTTTATGGCATTTTCTGTGACAAGGGCTGCAGTAAACATTGTCAGGCAGTATCTGACATGAACAGCTCCACCACAAGTTCACCTGAGTGTAGCAGACAGACAGGTGACTGTGTCAAGGGTTGTGTTGATGGCTGGTATGGAGCAACCTGCTCCTCTCAGTGTAACCCCAGGTGTCTGTACAAGAGATGCTCCCCATCAGGTGGCTGTGTAGATGGTTGTGTACCTGGGTACTTTGGGAGTGACTGTATGCCCTGCCCTGACAACTGTGTCAACAATTCCTGCAACACAGACACTGGGTCATGTGAAGGATGTGACAATGGGTTTTATGGGATGTCCTGCAATCAAAGCTGCTGTCTTGACGGTGTTTGTGACAAGACAACTGGCGTTTGCTCTGATGGTTGCATCACAGGAGACAGGTGTGACTCTACCTGTACAAACAACTGCACTGACACAGGTAAATAACAGCGACAAAACCTTTTCCATAGTCATACGATCTCGCTGAGAGTTCATTGTACTGTTCTGCCTGTATCATAAGGAGGTGTTCATGAATCTATCACATAGTGCTGACACAGCAGTTTGGCAAAAAGATGAATGTATTTGACGAATCAATTCATTGTCTTCAGCTACAACTTACGATTTAAAACACCACAGAATCCTAAACACCACAGAAACATGTCACCTTAACAAAACCAAAATGATTTGTGAAATATGTCTCAAAACTCATGTAAAAACATAATCCAATAGCTCAGTTGTTCTACGGAATTATTCAGTGCTACACCTGGTTTACTTTCAGTTGATCAGACGCCAGGTAATACCAACAACATCCAAATAGGAGTACCAACAGCAGTAGTTGTCTTTGTCATTTGTGTAGTGGTCACGGTGTGCATCCTCCATCGAAAACGTCTGTTGAAAGAAAGGTAGCCATGTTATTTCAATAATTGGAATAGTGTCTCAGATCAGATTACGTTCTTGTGTGCTTGTAACTCTCTGCCGATCGTGGTAGGTGCATTTCAAAATTCAAAGACATATAAAAAGTTTCAATTCTATAACTGAAAGGTAATTAGCTCAGTTTCTCAGGCCATACATTGCATGACTAATAGCTTGTGATTTTGGACAAGTTAATTGTTCTATGGTAGAAGCAGAGAAATCGCACAAAATTTATGTTTTATACTTCGTTATTATTTACAAAAGGAGTAACCTCGAGAGTCACTTACTATTTTCTCACAGCTGATGTTATTTGTTCAACGTAGGCAACAAGCAAATTTAGATGTCGCCACTGTGGAGTACCAGCCAAACAGATACTGGCAGATACGAGATGAAGATGTGGGCATCGAGGGATCAGATGGAAGCCACGTGGTCGATATAGCCATGCCTGTTATAGCTGATTGCTTTCCGGCAGCACGTGAAGTAGAAGTCAGTGATCGTGATACATCAGACAGTTCTGCTTCAGATACATCAGACGGTTCTGCCACAGACGCCAAGTCCTACACTCACCTGATGACAGATCCGGACGTCCTTGTTGCTGACCCGGGAACAGTGGTCAACTACATCTCACCAACTGAGTCTGACTATAGCCAAAGAGGTGACGTATGTAAGAGCAGTGTGGATTAATATAAAACGTCGACCCATGGAATACCCACTTCCGGTTATCCGCCGGAACAGATTCCACTGGGCGCTAAAGGCAACATAGTAGTAACATTGACATGAATGAATCACTGAATATCAGTGAAGACACCCGGGCCCTATTGCACAAAGTGATCTTAATGAATGGGAGTTACGACCATCTTAGCGCTAAGGTCGCTTTGTACAAGTGCGCCCAGGTGTTTGTGAAAAGGGAAAGCTTGTCCTGTAATTGAAGAGCTTAGAGCTAAAAGGGGCCAACATGCACGTTGGTCCTTTTTGCATATTATTGCATAAATAACATCTATGAGTTCTTGTATACCTATAGAAAAAATATTGTATGTTTTCATTGATGCGTTTTTTAAATATGGCTACTTAAAGTTCTATAAAAGGCTCTAAGTCAAGTTCCAAAAGGGCCAAAGTCACTTTGCTAGATTTTGGCCGTTTTAGCTCTCATTTCCGTGTGTGGTTGAGACTGGTTGCCTGAGAGAGATTTTGAAAGTTTTGACACCTTATTATTATGTTTCAACTATTTCAACAAAGCTAGCATTAGTGTAAATCATTTAAAAGTACTTCAATAGCATGTGTTTGTACATTTCGTCGTTGTTTATCAATCTCACATGTTAAATCCCATGGAAATACCTGAGGGTCTAAAAGGGGCCAAAATACAGACATTGGCCCTTTCCACCCTTATAGAAATTAAAAACGTAAGTTTATTTCCTTTTGTGATTTTTTTTTGTAACAACATTCATATCTCTGCTGTCAGAATGCGTAAATGTCTAGGAATTTATCGGTAAAAAAGATGTTCATTAACATGCATAATATCACATGTTTTCATCACTTTTCTCAAAACAGACTCCACGTGACATTGGCCTTTACGGCTCTTAGCTCTTCAATTTGCTGAAACGAGTAGGTGTTAATTGCCTGACACTGCACAGTAGTAGTCCTGCCATACAAGGCAGCCTGTAGCCTGACACTGCACAGTAGTAGTCCTGCCATACAAGGCAGCCTGTAGCCTGACACTGCACAGTAGTAGTCCTGCCATACAAGGCAGCCTGTAGCCTGACACTGCACAGTAGTAGTCCTGCCATACAAGGCAGCCTGTAGCCTGACACTGCACAGTAGTAGTCCTGCCATACAAGGCAGCCTGCAGCCTGACACTGCACAGTAGTAGTCCTGCCATACAAGGCAGCCTGTAGCCTGACACTGCACAGTAGTAGTCCTGCCATACAAGGCAGCCTGTAGCCTGACACTGCACAGTTGTAGTCCTGCCATACAAGGCAGCCTGTAGCCTGACACTGCACAGTAGTAGTCCTGCCATACAAGGCAGCCTGCAGCCTGACACTGCACAGTAGTAGTCCTGCCATACAAGGCAGCCTGTAGCCTGACACTGCACAGTAGTAGTCCTGCCATACAAGGCAGCCTGTAGCCTGACACTGCACAGTAGTAGTCCTGCCATACAAGGCAGCCTGTAGCCTGACACTGCACAGTAGTAGTCCTGCCATACAAGGCAGCCTGTAGCCTGACACTGCACAGTAGTAGTCCTGCCATACAAGGCAGCATGTAGCCTGACACTGCACAGTAGTAGTCCTGCCATACAAGGCAGCCTGTAGCCTGACACTGCACAGTAGTAGTCCTGCCATACAAGGCAGCCTGCAGCCTGACACTGCACAGTAGTAGTCCTGCCATACAAGGCAGCCTGTAGCCTGACACTGCACAGTAGTAGTCCTGCCATACAAGGCAGCCTGTAGCCTGACACTGCACAGTAGTAGTCCTGCCATACAAGGCAGCCTGTAGCCTGACACTGCACAGTAGTAGTCCTGCCATACAAGGCAGCCTGTAGCCTGACACTGCACAGTAGTAGTCCTGCCATACAAGGCAGCATGTAGCCTGACACTGCACAGTAGTAGTCCTGCCATACAAGGCAGCCTGTAGCCTGACACTGCACAGTAGTAGTCCTGCCATACAAGGCAGCCTGTAGCCTGACACTGCACAGTTGTAGTCCTGCCATACAAGGCAGCCTGTAGCCAGACCAGACAATCATGTGATGGACCCGGAAAACTAGTGACCAGAATGTGAAAGTAGGCTAGATTAAGACATGACCTAAATGTCTGGCATCAAAGTTTGATTTGTACAATCATAATTGTTGTCTAATGGCTGCATCTGAGTTATTTACAAAAGTTATGTCTTATTTTACACTTTATTCAATACAAAAATTAAGATTCTTGTTTATCTGCATAGATGTCTTGCGGATGATTGATTGACCCTATCATTATCTAATGTTCGATATTCTAATGTTTGTATTCTAATTATTCAAAGAGCTTATAGATGATGATTATTATGATGATGATGATGATGATGATGATTTTGATGAAAGAAATGTTACTTTCAAAATAATTCACATGACGGGAGTGAATGTTGAAAAAGGGAAGTAAGTGACTGGAATAAGGACCTGTAAAGTAGCTGACAGAATGTGATGTGACAGTGTGATATTAGGTTGCTTTTGTTTGTTTGCTTTTTATGGGTAGCACATTTAGATACTGCCGTTTAAGTTGGTTTTGATAAGGTAAATGCCTAGGTGGTAATAGTTGGATGAATAAGCAATAGTGATGGGTTGCTGAATTGTGGAAATGTGTGTGCCTATTTCACTTAAGACATTCTTGTAGTGTAGAATTTCACCTGCTGTTGTCCTCCACTGTAGAACAGTATAGGGAGTTGCCTGTACGAGGCTTTTTAATGTTGTTTTTATGGATGTTTAGGTTTGTGTGACCAGTGTAAGGTCTTGTTATAGATCTGTGCGTAAGTTTGTTCTGATGGATTGTTGAGACTTTGTATTGAGCTCTTTTCACCATTTGTTTGAGGCGTTTTGCTATCGTCGACGTTTGGTATTTAGATGCCCATTTCGGACTGAGTTTGCTTTGAATAATTGATTTGACTTCGTCCTTTGTTTACTGTGTTTAAGTTGGCCCCTGATTTGACAGAATTGTCGACTTCTTCGTTTCCGAACATTCCGATGTGAGCTGGGACACCAGGAAGGTGGACCACCCTGTCCTCTCTTTGGATTGTTTGAAACATGCCGAGAATTTGACCTATGAGTTTACCTCTGTTTTTAGTACATTTATTTTGGAGCGCTTGTGAGATTGTCCCGCTTAAGTTCTTTATGATTGTCCCGCTTAAGTTCTTTCTGATTGTCCCGCTTAAGTTCTTTATGATTGTCCCGCTTAAGTTCTTTATGACTGTCCCGCTTAAGTTCTTTATGATTGTCCCGCTTAAGTTCTTTATGATTGTCCCGCTTAAGTTCTTTATGACTGTCCCGCTTAAGTTCTTTATGATTGTCCCGCTTAAGTTCTTTATGACTGTCCCGCTTAAGTTCTTTATGATTGTCCCGCTTAAGTTCTTTATGACTGTCCCGCTTAAGTTCTTTATGATTGTCCCGCTTAAGTTCTTTATGATTGTCCCGCTTAAGTTCTTTATGATTGTCCCGCCTAAGGTCTGGCCGGAGATGATAATGTATCTTCAGTTGTAAATCCCCAGGCTTTATCTGAGAAGTATATTTCGTTATGTGTGCATTTCGATGGATAATATAAACATCTATTGTATATTTACTATCATTGTTATTAAAGTTCTTTACATTCTAGTGTGTCTGTTTAATGTTTATAAAAGATGGGATGAAATCAGGAGAAACGCTCGACAGGCAATCATTCAAGACGCTTCTACATAGATTCCTCAGGACCAATTCTAACCAGGATTCCCCACAGAGGATGCAGTTATGATGCCTGGCACATCAAGCCCAGAGTTTCTACCACAGCCTTTCACAACTGAATGTTTCACTGATTAGCTCAACACACACAGAGGCATGGGTATCAGTGAAACGTTTTCAATTCAAATCACTCATAATTTGGTTTCAGATTTATTGGCCTGTTCCATAAGTCGAGTTAAGTGAAAACTACGTGGTTAAGTTCCACTCAAACCCGCTGTTTTCTTCCAATTGTGCAAGTGGTTGTCAAACATGTTTAACGGGAGCAGGTAGAGAGACGGTAGGCCGGTAACTACAAAATGTGTGTACACTGTATTTCCTTTGCAGTGTAATTTTCAATACTATAATTTCATACAAACAGGTTTCCATTTATCATATAATTGTAACAAAATGGATCATATGGCCATAAAACATATATGTACACATCTGTGAAAGGAATCCTCCCTGGTCCTGGAATTGTCTTTTATCATTTGCTTGACTGAAGTTTGATGTCTAACGATTCACCAGGTGCGCGTTAGTCACAAACAACTATCCAATCGTACATATAATCACTGGTCTATACAAGTATCCCGGTATGTCTGATTTATGTTGTTGAACCACTAACCGCTCAACCTGCCACACAGACTTTGAGCTAAGCGGACTCCACACAGAATGCATTGCCTTTTGTACCCGATCAGGTGACACACTTCCCTGCATTTGCCTGTCGAAGCTAACTGCACATATTGAGCGAGAACAAGGCTAAGCTATGAATAAACACGTCCAGTCATGCAACTCCATACCGGCCGGGATATCAAATAGCTTCTACTTTTTGTATCAAGCACAGGTAGTAAGTGTGTCATCAAGGTGAAAATGGCGTCCTTCTGTAAGCGTGCTGTGGGGTGTACAGTCGACACACATACTCTCTGGGTTGACAAGTAGGAAGTATCACATCGTACTGACGTATGTATTATGTATCATTGTCTCTACATCGTCTTCATGACACACACTATAGCTCAACATATAACCACATATTGTTACAGAGTCTGATATTGCAATGTGTAAAATTAAATAAAGAATTCAGGCCCAATGAAATAATCCAAAAGATAAATATCAAATCATCTTGGAAATTTAGGTAATAAATTAGGATAAGTAAAGAAAATTTCACTATGTGAAGTTAAACAAGCAGTTACAACTCAGCTTTTAATGTCAGTTGTATGAAATTTTCTATGCTCAAAGTGACAGCCACATCACAATACACAATTTCAATGTTTCCAGTTTTAATTCTGCTCAAATTCATGTAACAATGCTAAAATGCTGATCAACTTATGAACAATAGGATAAAAATAATATGTAAAAAATACATTTTGTGAAATATCATTGTGACCCGGAAATGATCTGAGCATTCATATATATGTTTAACAATGCTGTAAGATGAAACTTGTATACTGCATCACCACATACTGGCCACTTGTTCTTAAACTGTTCCCATGTAGGTTAAGATAGCTCAGTACTTGAAGTATAAAGGTCATGTCATATATAATATCTGTTTCCAAGTCCAGATCAATTTTCTACACAGACTTTGATGTATTTGCGGACGATAAATGGAAGGCGAACACCTTCAGCAATGCTGACACTTTTCATTCTTCTGCTTAGATTTGGTGAGTACAACTATCATTTTAATGACACTTTCATGATAATATGCAGTCACAGAATGGGAAATATGTTCCTTACATAAAACATAAATGTATCCAAGAGTGAGTGAGTGAGTGAGTTGGGTTTAACGCCGCTTTTAACAGTATTCCAGTCATATCGCGGCGTGTCAGCTTAATGTGGGAGGAAAGCCCGAAGTGATGCAGGTCTCAGACGTTTACCACTTCGGTGAAACCCACGAACACGGGTATGGTGCTGACAAACCTAGAAACATAATTGGGGCGAACCGGGATTCGAACCCGCAATCATAGGTTTCTGGCGTGCCAAAGGGACGCAACTCTGCACAGTGAATCGCGGCGCCTTAGACGACTGGGCCACCCATGACCCCAAATGTATCCAGGATGCACTGATACAGCAATCATAGTGATCATTCACCTTGTCGCATTAAATGTTTTTTGTGTGTAAAATCTAGCCAGGAGGAAGGTCAATCTGTTTTCTATAAACGTTTAACTCTATCATATATGAGTACATTGAAATGTTGTTAGACAAATCATGTTTGCGTTCTGTTATCCCTTTCTCAAAGTTGTGGGGGCGGTGTCACGCAAAAGGCCCGGGTATTATTCCCGGATTGGGTACAATGCGTGAAGCCCACTTTGGTGTACCCCTTCGTGCTATTGCTGGAATATTGCTAAAAGGGGTGTAAACCAAACTCATTCACTCACTTACTGACTCACCCTCTTACTCAAAATTGTGGAAACCTGTTTTGAATGTGTGTGTACTGTCCTGCAGTACTTCTTGTCCATGGCGAGGAGTGTGCCCTGGGATGGTATGGAGGAGGATGTGAACACATCTGCCCCCAGCAATGTGCCAGTCTTGTAGGCACGGACGACATACACTGTGACAAGCTGAGTGGGAGCTGTTCCTCGGGGTGCCTGGCCGGCTGGTACGGAGATCAGTGCAACTCCCAGTGCAGCACTCATTGTGTCAACAGGACCTGCAACCAACAAGACGGACACTGTACCGTGGGCTGTCCACACAACAGGGAGGGACATTTTTGTCAGACGCTGAAAGGTACAAAGGTTTGATGGAACAAGGACACAGATGACTAGGGGTATAAATAGTCTGTAGTTACAAAATAACCCATGAAACATAACACTGAGTTGATACAGAGAGGCATAACATATTTACATGAAAGTATTCAGTGGTACATTGTCTCCAGCTTTGGTTTCTTGTAAACGGTTAAAAGTATGTGATAAATGTATGTGTACGTTTATGATACATATGAAAGCACCTGCACATGGATCAGTTACTAGTCTGTGTTTATACAGTGGAGGTGACAGCAGCTCCCTCAACAGGAACTTCCACGACGACGGAGTCCCCATCAACAGAGCCGGCTGTGATTGCTATCCCCGTGTGCATTGCCGTGGTTGTGATAGTAGCCGTCATCATTACACTTTTTGTCATTCTGTAAGTAAAGATCAATGTGATTTTACTTGTTTGATGGGCATTACTTAGAAGTTGACGGATGACAAGATAGACACAATTTTATGGATAACAACTTCTTTAATACTGTGAAAAGTGACGTTTCGGTATAGATCCTTATACCATTGTCTTGCTTGACAACGGTATAAGGATCTATACCTAAACGTCGCTTTTCACAGTATTAAAGAAGTTGTTATCCATAAAGTTGTGTCTATCTTGTTAGTGTGATTTACGTTCGTAACGTGTCCTGTATGAATATCATTATAAAAGATAAAACACAACTGATTATTCGCCAAAACAGATTCCATTTCGCGTAAAGGACAAAAAAGCTGTACAAATTATGTGAATGGTGTGGCCAATATTCTGTTCATATTCCTTTTAACATATTTTTATTCTTACTTCCAGAAGGAAAAGACATAGAAATAGGTAATAACATATTTCCAATTTGACTTTCATTTCTGTTGCAAAGTAGCATGGTGTGTGTGCCTGGCACTCTCCTCACATATTGCTCAACTAACTGTCGTTCAAAGCAGCGTTAAGCTTACTCACTTACGTCACAATAAAGAATTGGCTTATCACCAATTGTGAAATTAAATAAACTCGATAAATGAATGGAACTTATTTATTCAAATAACTTTCATAATTGTATGTTCTTTCAGAAACCTCAAAGCCTGTAAGTATAAAAACACAAAACCTGTAGATCCGAAAAATACTCATTACCTCTCTCCAGTTTTGGTGGCCTTTAAGCTGAATAAGAACATTTCCCAATGTCGTAAAATTATTCAAAAATCACAATATGAGCAGACGGGATATAATGAAGTTTTACTTACTACACATATTATTCTGGGATTATGTGTGGTGTTTGGGTGATGGGGAGATGTTTGAAGTGTGTCATAGTGGGATGTGAATATGGTATGCCCCTCTCATTGTATGTGGGTTGATATTATTAAGCAAACCGTTGTTTCTAAATATCAAGAATACAGTTGTTCTTCCTGACCAGTGACAGAAAATATGGAATCTTAAAATTATAAATATGTATTCTCATATATGACAGATCCAGATTAATTCAAATAATATATGAAACGTACCTACAATTGTGGTTTTCAGGTCATTCTCTGGAGGAAGGGATGCATTTGATGAAAGGTAAGGAAAGTCTCCATAAGGTCCTGTATTAAGTCAGCATGTAATGTATTATGGCGTATATACAATACTGTCTGCAAATACAGTAGTTATTGACACATCTGCTCCAAGAGAAAAGATGCAATGTGAAACTAATGTACCATGTCTTCTTTCACAGGGAACACTAATCTTCATGATGCGAGCCTTGCGGGAGATGTCGACATCATCAAACAGATATTGTCTGACAACCGTGAAGATATCAACTGTACAAGGGAAGACGGGAGGACCCCTGTGATGTGTGCAGCCTCCGAGGGACATGGACACGTAGTGAACCTGCTGGTGGACAAAGGAGCTGATCTGTCACCAGTGGATGCCAAGGGGGAAAACATCCTTCATGTGGCCTGTCTGGGAGGATATGTGGATGTTGTGAAATATCTCCTCTTACAGGACAACATGGACATCAATAGTAGAGGATGTTATGGCAGAACGCCAATAATGAAAACAGCAGAGAAAGGACATAGAGAAGTGTTTGACCTCCTTGTTAGTAACCGAGGTAATTTGTCATCAGTGGATGATAAGGGTAACAACGGCCTTCATGTGGCCTGTATTGGAGGACATGTGGAGATGGTGAAGCATGTCCTCTCATTAGGCATTGTTGGCTTCAACAGTAGAGGACAGTACGGGAGGACACCGGCAATGATGGCTGCATGCTGTCGACATAAAGGTGTTGTTGAATTTCTTAAGACTAAAGGAGCAGATCTGTCGGTGGTGGACGATGACAGTAACAACATCCTTCACGTGGCATGCATTGGGGGACATCCGGAACTAGTCAAGTTTGTCCTCTGCTTGAACACTTTGGACATCAACAGTAAAGGACAGCATCAACAGACACCCGTGAGAATGGTTGACTTCAGGAAACACAGAACTGCATTTGACTTACTTGTGAGTAAAGGAGCAGATCTATCACAGGTAGATGACAAAGGTGAGAACATCCTCCATGTGGCCTGTCTGGAAGGACATCTGGACTTAGTGAAGGACATGGTCACAAATCACAAGGTCGACATCAACAGCAGAGGACGGTACGGGAGAACCCCGGTGATGAAGGCAGCAGAGAAGGGGCACAAAGAAGTGTTGGATCTGCTTATAAGTAATGGAGGTGATGTGACCTTAAGGGATGATAACGACAACAACATCCTCCATGTTGCATGTATCGGCGGGGATGTGGAGATGGTGAAGTTTGTCCTCTCACAAGGCCTTGTTGATATCAACAGTAGAGGGCAATACGGGAGGACACCAGCGATGATGGCTGCAGGTTGCCGACATAAAGAGGTGATTCGGGCCCTTAAGGATACAGGTGCAGATCTGTCACTGACGGATGATGACAATAACAACATCCTCCACGTGGCATGCATTGGGGGGCACCTGGAAGTTGTGATATTTGTCCTTTCCTTGAATTCTGTGGACATCAACACTAAAGGACAGCTTCAACGAGCACCAGTGAGAATGGTTGACTTCAGGAAACAAAGGAATATATTTGATGTACTTGTGAGTAAAGGAGCAGATCTATCACAGGTAGATGACAAAGGTGAGAACATCCTCCACGTGGCCTGTCTGGAAGGACATCTGGACTTGGTGAAGGACATCGTCACAAATCACAAGGTCGACATCAACAGCAGAGGACGGTATGGGAGAACCCCGGTGATGAAGGCAGCAGAGAAGGGGCACAAAGAAGTGTTGGATCTGCTTATACGTAATGAAAGTGATGTGACCTTAAGGGATGATAACGACAACAACATCCTCCATGTTGCATGTATCAGCGGGGATGTGGAGATGGTGAAGAATGTCGTGTCACTCAAGATGATGGACATCAACAGCAGAGGGCAATACGGGAGGACTCCCGTACTGATGGCAGCAGGTGCTGGTCATAGAGAGGTGGTGGAGTCACTTGAGGGAGAAGGAGCTGATATGACCCTCACAGATGATGATAGTAACAATATACTTCATGCGGCCTGTTATGGCGGATATTTGAAGATTGTCAAGTATGTTCTCTCACTAAACATTGTTGATATCTCAGCGGAAAATAAGGAAGAACTAACCGCAATGATGATATCAAACGAATTACATGATAAGTCTGTATATGCATTGCTTGTGACACAATCAACGTGATCAAATATAAGGATATGCAAGATTCTGACAAGATGGCTGCTACGCAGTCCATGTTCCTGTTATTGTTTCAGTAGTGGACAAAACGGAACTATGTAGCTCTACTTTCAATGCAACGACAAGAAAACATTATCATGTCATTGTGTCATGTGTATGAAGCGACAAAACCCTTTTCATAGCCAGCAGAAATATCTGCCGTCACAACGAAGGAAAGTCAACTCTTCACCTGAAAAAAATACAAGGACATGTGGTTAGGTAAAAAAGGGAATATCATCGGACATCATTTTTTGTCAGTGATGCGTCAAATTTGGAAATGACCTCCACGTGTCTACTATTCAGTGTGTTATGCATGTTGCTATAGTCTATGTGTAATAGGTGTGAATTACCTCGTCAATGCTACAAACATAAGTGTTGATGCTTCGATTATGCATCTAACCAGTTGAGCGGATTGACCGAGGGAGGCTCTGAGACGTGCTTCTTACCAATCCTACAGATGAGAAGTGATGCACGCACTGCTAAATACTCTGGACAAGGAGCATGTTATGAATACACAATGCCATTGAGAATGTGGTCAAACGAAACAAATGCTATATTTGGGATAACACTATCTTAGTAAAGTATAAATTGTTATACTTTATGGGGTTGAGCACCATACCAGAATTCAAACCCACACTGCTAAAGTGCGGAACCTAATCGTCATCACAGAAAGTCAGCTATCTCACCCACGCAGACACGGAGGCTTCCACAACATGGGAACGTGGCAATTTCCACTTATCAGAGGGGTACACAAAGTACGTAATCTAGACTACCAGTTGTCAGACTTTCATTCAATGGAAGCCTCGGTGGCTGAATGGGTTAGATCTCTGACTTTGTGCGCTGACAGTGTGGGTTAGAATCCCTGTATTGGGTTCAACCCAGGAAAGGTACTAGAACTTGTAATTTACTAAGACAGTGTTATCCCAAATATAACATTTGTTACGAGGAGCATGTTACCTTGAGTTACATTTACCAGTTGTGAAACTTTGAATAAAACATTGTTATTGCAAATATGAGAGTGATATCGTTCAGTTTAACAAAATTTTCATTGTATAAAGTATTTTTGATTCACACCATTTGTAGTTTATTGTCACCTGTTAATTGCTTTTGTTCTTGTAATCAGAAGTAAGGATTAATGCTTGATATGAGTAAATGTTCATTTAAAACTGAATTAAATACCAAATATCCCTCACTGTATTTCTGCTGTGTCTGTAGTTAGAAGGTCTTCTCTCCATATGTGTCAGCGTACAATTCATTCTTTTGTTTATCCTCTCTGAATCTGTTGTTTGAAGGTAGGAGGTCAGGATTAAAATATACGCTTCAAATGTTTTACTTGATAATGTGTGTCATGTTCAAATAATGCTTATGTTGGCTTGTAGAACGGTTGCATTCTTCTGGTGTTTATCTGCATGTAATACCATATGAAGGTAGAAAACAGCCCACTTGCTTTGATTGTGAGAGTCCAGAATATAGTAAAGAAAATTATATTTTTTACATTGTCTACTCAGATCTAAGTCAGAGTGTAAGCAGTATTTGGAATGTGAAAAGTAATTTAACAAAGTTTGTTATTAAACAGCTGGAAGATTATGAGCATATTATCGAAGATGACAAGGATTGAAAAATGTGTTGGCTTAGGATTAAATCTTTGTCACGTTGTAGTGGTAACCAGCTGTCTGTAGCCTTGATGTTTGATAGGACTATTGTAAAACGGGGTGCTCAGCAGTCAACTACTGATGACACTGTTTCTCACTTTATGACATACCATCATCATGAAGAATGTGACGATTGTAATAATCCAGGCTTAGTATCAGCCCACATTATTCAGTCTGAAGTTGTGAAAGCTGTCACTTCATTGAGAGACTGTTAATCCACGGGTTCAAATAGTATCCCTAGGATTTATTAAAAATGAACTGTGTTATTACCATATATTGAAATGTTACTTAATTTTGTCCCTGCATAAACAAGGAAATAGATTGGACCTTAATAGTTATCGAGGTTTGTCTCTCGTAAATACTTTTGGAGAGGTATTTACTTCCATTTTGGAGGCTAACAAAAGAATTTGGATGGAAGTAAATATACATATTCATGAATTGCAGGCTGGATTCAGGAATGATTGTTCTCCAGTAGACAACCTTTAAAGCTTACAGTCTCTTGGCTAAAAAGTATTTAAGATAATTCAAACAACGTTTTTATGTAGCCTTTGTTTCGTAATGCTTTTGATTTAGTAAGATATTTAAAGTTTATAATAATATGTATTCTAAGCAAAAAGGGATGGAAGAGTTGAGGTGTTTCACACGGCATGTCAAGGATGTGCCTGGAGTCCAGTTACATTTCATATTTAAGCAAAGTGGATTAGGAGGCATATTTTTTCTTGAGGACCTGGAGGAAACTATGGTATTTCTTATTTGCATATGGTGTGGCTCTGGTGGATGATTCAGTGATTGGTTTACAAAGGGAATTAGATATATGGATGTTTTATGTCAGCAAAGGGGTCTGGAGGTGAATATGAATACATCTAACATCATTGTTTTTAGGAACGGTGGTTTCGTGCGCAGTGTAGAAATACGATTTTGTTCATGAGTTGAAATGAAAACTATGACCTATAACAAACATCAATGTATCTTTTTTCTCATTCAGATAAGTGTGGTCAAGAGCTTGTAGAGCGCTTTTTTTGCAAGACAGGAAGTCTAATTTTTCAATTCGTGGACTATTCAGCTATCAAAATTTACGTTTTCATGCTGTTCAAACAATATTTGATGCTTAAGATATTACCAATTTAGTGTATGGCGCACACATCTGGCGATTCGCTTTAAGGAGTCCTTAGAAAAGGTGCACGCACGTCTCGTAGTGTCGTTCAGGCTCAGTCATTATTTTCTCGATTACTATAGTTGTTACATGGGCTATTGATGTAGACTTCCACTCATGGAAGAACATAGATACCCAGAGCCATGTTATGAGACGTTTATATGTTTTCATGATAGGCAAAAATAGTCGGTGTCTCGCGTGTACGTTAATTACTGTTCGAGGCAGGTTGTGCTGTGTGGTGTCAGGCAATAAATACTTCCGTCTCTAATTTTCACAGCCTGTTTGCTCCTTACGCCAAATGAAGTCTGTTTCGGTGGATGTTCCCATGCATTGGCAATAAATATAGTGTCATGTAAGGTTATAGAGTTTGAGATTCGGCATGATAAGATTTCTAGATTTAAATTTGTACACTGGTTATAGGTCTGTCCTATAAGTTGAAAACAATATGTTAATGTAAGGACGTTTTCCCCTTTTTTTCGTAAATGTCGTTAATGTATATGAGGCCTGAAATACAAATAAACTTGTCACTTGTAAACTTGTCACTTGTCACTTGTCACATGGTGATGAGCTTTTGCACAAATTTCATCTGGTAGCCAGGGTAATGTAGATAACAATTCATCCCTGCATTACAGACCGGTTCGAACTGATCTCCAGCAACCTATGTTTGTCATAAAAGGCGGCTATCCTTGTCAGAGGCGACTAACGTAACCTGGTGGTCAGGCTCGCTGACTTGGTTGATACATGTCACCGTATCCCACATTGTGTGGATCGATGCTCATAATATCAATCACTGGATTGCCTGGTCCAGCCTCGAATATTTACAGACTGCCGTCATAAAGCTGGAATATTGCCGATTGCGGTGTTAAACAACAAACAACAACAACATTATTGACAATACTAATATGACTGTTGTCGCATTAAAAGCTTTGACGTGAGTTAGTGGATGACCTAACAGAGAACGTCATGGCTCTTTGTAAACTGAGATGAAAATGAAATGAAAATATTGAGTTACCAATGGTAAAACAAAATAAAACAAAATAATGTCAAATGTCACCTGCTTCTCCTGCGACAAATATTTGTCCCCCGCCGCGCGAAAGCGAGAAGCGGGGGATATAGTATTCACGACCGTCCGTACGTCCGTACGTCTGTACGTCCGTCCGTACGTCCCACCTGTTTGTTGCCGCGATATCTCAAGAACTAAACACTGGATTGTCTTCATATTTGGAACTATGGTGTATATACAAATTCCGCAGACACCAGTCGGTTTTGGTGACCTTGATCCCATTTTCAAGGTCACAGCAGGCAAATCTGCTCTTGGAGTTGGAAAACGGTGTTGCAGCGATATCTCAAGAACTAAACACTGGATTGTCTTCATATTTGGAACTATGGTGTATATACAGACACCGCAGACACCAGTCGGTTTTGGTGACCTTGACCCCATTTTCAAGGTCACAGGAGGCAAATCTGCTTTTGGAGTTGGAAAACGGTGTTGCCGCGATATCTCAAGAACTAAACACTGGATTGTCTTCATATTTGGAACTATGGTGTATATACAGACTCCGCAGACACCAGTCGGTTTTGGTGACCTTGATCCCATTTTCAAGGTCACAGCAGGCAAATCTGCTTTTGGAGTTGGAAAACGGTGTTGCCGCGATATCTCAAGAACTAAACACTGGATTGTCTTCATATTTGGAACTATGGTGTATATACAGACTCCGCAGACACCAGTCGGTTTTGGTGACCTTGACCCCATTTTCAAGGTCACAGCAGGCAAATCTGCTTTTGGAGTTGGAAAACGGTGTTGCAGCGATATCTCAAGAACTAAACACTGGATTGTCTTCATATTTGGAACTATGGTGTATATACAGACACCGCAGACACCAGTCGGTTTTGGTGACCTTGACCCCATTTTCAAGGTCACAGCAGGCAAATCTGCTTTTGGAGTTGGAAAACGGTGTTGCCGCGATATCTCAAGAACTAAACACTGGATTGTCTTCATATTTGGAACTATGGTGTATATACAGACTCCGCAGACACCAGTCGGTTTTGGTGACCTTGATCCCATTTTCAAGGTCACAGCAGGCAAATCTGCTTTTGGAGTTGGAAAACGGTGTTGCAGCGATATCTCAAGAACTAAACACTGGATTGTCTTCATATTTGGAACTATGGTGTATATACAGACTCCGCAGACACCAGTCGGTTTTGGTGACCTTGACCCCATTTTCAAGGTCACAGCAGGCAAATCTGCTTTTGGAGTTGGAAAACGGTGTTGCCGCGATATCTCAAGAACTAAACACTGGATTGTCTTCATATTTGGAACTATGGTGTATATACAGACACCGCAGACACCAGTCGGTTTTGGTGACCTTGACCCCATTTTCAAGGTCACAGCAGGCAAATCTGCTTTTGGAGTTGGAAAACGGTGTTGCCGCGATATCTCAAGAACTAAACACTGGATTGTCTTCATATTTGGAACTATGGTGTATATACAGACACCGCAGACACCAGTCGGTTTTGGTGACCTTGACCCCATTTTCAAGGTCACAGCAGGCAAATCTGCTTTTGGAGTTGGAAAACGGTGTTGCCGCGATATCTCAAGAACTAAACACTGGATTGTCTTCATATTTGGAACTATGTTGTATATACAAACTCCGCAGACACCAGTCGGTTTTGGTGACCTTGACCCCATTTTCAAGGTCACAGCAGGCAAATCTGCTTTTGGAGTTGGAAAACGGTGTTGCAGCGATATCTCAAGAACTAAACACTGGATTGTCTTCATATTTGGAACTATGGTGTATATACAGACTCCGCAGACACCAGTCGGTTTTGGTGACCTTGATCCCATTTTCAAGGTCACAGCAGGCAAATCTGCTTTTGGAGTTGGAAAACGGTGTTGCCGCGATATCTCAAGAAGTAAACACTGGATTGTCTTCATATTTGGAACTATGGTGTATATGCAGACACCGCATACACCAGTCGGTTTTGGTGACCTTGACCCCATTTTCAAGGTCACAGGAGGCAAATCTGTTTTTGGAGTTGGAAAACGGTGTTGCCGCAATATCTCAAGAACTAATCGCTGGATTGTCTTCATATTTGGTACTATGGTGTATATACAGGCGGGGGACATTTCGTCACTTTGTGACAAATACTTGTTGTATTTAATTTGATCGTTGCTCTGATGAAATAGATAGAAAGATATACGAAATACATGTTCGCAATCATCATCTGTCGAGAACAAAATACTCAAAAGCTGACCTCCACTAGTGACGTGCGTCACCTCGTAGGGAGGTGAGGGGTGTGTGGCTGTGGCTGTGGCTGTGTTTTGTTTTTTTTAATTAATTGGGTTTTTTTAGGGAGGGGGAGGGGAGGGGTTGGTTTTGCATCGATATTATATATCAGTAAAGCCATACATCTTTTAGATTTAAACATATGAGCTTTTGAAGTTTTGGTCAGGAAATCACCACCTTTTTTTTGTAAAAGGCACCATCTTTGTTTTTCAACGCCATGAAGAATAATTATCTTTGACAAGAGTCTTCGAGGACGTTTTATTTTAATAATAAAATAGTTATTTGAAATTCACTTTTAACTTTTCAAAGGTTTTTTTTTCATGGGACGGTAACATTCACATTGCGTTCATATCCATGAATGTCAAATGTATTGTGCAGTGGAGGTACGGAAGTGTGCATAAATATTGTAGGTCGGGGCCATTATCACAAAACAGCCTGAGTGGAAACAGGTACATCGTCTGCCGCACAGTCATGTTGAGGTGTCTAGATTACAGGACACGTGACTATTTCGCCCCTGCTAAGATACACTCGATAGCCTCCCAGTCGTCTGTTCGAGGAAAAGTCACACTGACCTAGAGTCCACTATCACGGAAATATAGAGATATCATCAGCGCCTAGCAGTCTATCAGCGTCTAGCAGTCTAGCAGCGTCTAGCAGTCTATCAGCGTCTAGCAGTCTATCAGCGCCTAACAGTCTATCAGCGTCTAGCAGTCGATCAGCGCCTAGCAGTCTATCAGCGTCTGGCAGTCTATCAGCGCCTAACAGTCTATCAGTGTCTAACAGTCTGTCAGCGTCTATCAGTCTATCAGTGTCTAACAGTCTATCAGTGTCTAACAGTCTATCAGTGTCTAACAGTCTATCAGTGTCTAACAGTCTACCAGGGCCTAACAGTCTATCAGCGTCTGACAGTCTATCAGTGTCTAACAGTCTATCAGCGCCTAACAGTCTATCAGCGTCTAACAGTCTATCAATGTCTAACAGTCTATCAGCGACTAACAGTCTATCAGCGTCTAACAGTCTATCAGCGCCTAACAGTCTATCAGTGTCTAACAGTCTATCAGTGTCTAACAGTCTATCAGCGTCTAACAGTCTATCAGCGTCTAACAGTCTATCAGTGTCTAACAGTCTATCAGCGTCTAACAGTCTATCAGTGTCTAACAGTCTAGCAGCGTCTAACAGTCTCTCAGTGTTTAACAGTCTGTCAGCGTCTATCAGTCTATCAGTGTCTAACAGTCTATCAGTGTCTAACAGTCTATCAGTGTCTAACAGTCTATCAGCGTCTAACAGTCTATCAGTGTCTAACAGTCTATCAGCGCCTAACAGTCTATCAGCGTCTAACAGTCTATCAGGGTCTAACAGTCTATCAGCGACTAACAGTCTATCAGCGTCTAACAGTCTATCAGCGCCTAACAGTCTATCAGTGTCTAACAGTCTATCAGTGTCTAACAGTCTATCAGCGTCTAACAGTCTATCAGCGTCTAACAGTCTATCAGTGTCTAACAGTCTATCAGCGTCTAACAGTCTATCAGTGTCTAACAGTCTAGCAGCGTCTAACAGTCTATCAGCGCCTAACAGTCTATCAGCGTCTATCAGTCTATCAGTGTCTAACAGTCTATCAGTGTCTAACAGTCTATCAGTGTCTAACAGTCTATCAGCGTCTAACAGTCTATCAGCGTCTAACAGTCTATCAGCGTCTTACAGTCTATCAGCGTCTAACAGTCTATCAGCGTCTAACAGTCTATCGGCGTCTAACAGTCGAGCAGCGTCTAACAGTCTATCAGTGTTTAACAGTCTATCAGCGTCTAACAGTAAATCAGCGTCTTACAGTCTATCAGTGTCTAACAGTCTATCAGCTTCGGGTATGCTGGCTCAGGTCTAGTCTGAATCAGATAGCATACATTACTTGCAAGCTGAGTTGTTTTGTCCCTATTTGGTAGTCAATGCATGAATATTTAACAGCGTTACATAGAATATGTGCCCACGAATACCCGCAGAACACACTAATGGGAAGTCCCAGGTTAGATTCCAAAATAGTTTCAAGGGGTGAAGTACATTCAAAACTGGAACTATGGGTAACACCGAGGGATAAAAATGCAAAAACAAAACCCCGAGGAAACATAACTTTATTTAATTACAGCTAAACAATTGGCATCCAAGCATCTCGATCTTGTATTTGTATTTATGCAAAAGTGGACAACGTGGTAGTGGACAAACAGACATAACGTAACATGTCCATCACCTGCCGCGTTAGATATGAATGTGAGGCACGTAGTGACAGGTAATGCACTGACGTATGAGTTAGATATGAATGTGAGGCAGGTAGTGACAGGTAATGCACTGACGTATGAGTTAGATATGAATGTGAGGCAGGTAGTGACAGGTAATGCACTGACGTATGAGTTAGATATGAATGTGAGGCAGGTAGTGACAGGTAATGCACTGACGTATGAGTTAGATATGAATGTGAGGCAGGTAGTGACAGGTAATACACTGACGTATGAGTAGATATGAATGTGAGGCAGGTAGTGACAGGTAATACACTGACGTATGTGTTAGATATGAATGTGAGGCAGGTAGTGACAGGTAATGCACTGACGTATGAGTTAGATATGAATGTGAGGCAGGTAGTGACAGGTAATACACTGACGTATGAGTTAGATATGAATGTGAGGCAGGTAGTGACAGGTAATACACTGACGTATGAGTTAGATATGAATGTGAGGCAGGTAGTGACAAGTAATACATTGACGTATGAGTTAGATATGAATGTGAGGCAGGTAGTGACAGGTAATACACTGACGTATGAGTTAGATATGAATGTGAGGCAGGTAGTGACAGGTAATGCACTGACGTATGAGTTAGATATGAATGTGAGGCAGGTAGTGACAGGTAATGCACTGACGTATGAGTTAGATATGGATGTGAGGCAGGTAGTGACAGGTAATACACTGACATATGAGTTAGATATGGATGTGAGGCAGGTAGTGACAGGTAATACACTGACGTATGAGTTAGATATGAATGTGAGGCAGGTAGTGACAGGTAATGCACTGACGTATGAGTTAGATATGAATGTGAGGCAGGTACTGACAGGTAATACACTGACATATGAGTTAGATATGAATGTGAGGCAGGTAGTGACAGGTAATGCACTGACGTATGAGTTAGATATGAATGTGAGGCAGGTAGTGACAGGTAATGCACTGACGTATGAGTTAGATATGAATGTGAGGCAGGTAGTGACAGGTAATGCACAGACGTATGAGTTAGATATGAATGTGAGGCAGGTACTGACAGGTAATACACTGACATATGAGTTAGATATGAATGTGAGGCAGGTAGTGACAGGTAATGCACTGACGTATGAGTTAGATATGAATGTGAAGCAGGTAGTGACAGGTAATGCACTGACGTATGAGTTAGATATGAATGTGAGGCAGGTAGTGACAGGTAATGCACTGACGTATGAGTTAGATATGAATGTGAGGCAGGTAGTGACAGGTAATGCACTGACGTATGTGTTAGATATGAATGTGAGGCAGGTAGTGACAGGTAATACACTGACGTATGAGTTAGATATGAATGTGAGGCAGGTAGTGACAGGTAATACACTGACGTATGAGTTAGATATGAATGTGAGGCAGGTAGTGACAGGTAATGCACTGACGTATGAGTTAGATATGAATGTGAGGCAGGTAGTGACAGGTAATGCACTGACGTATGAGTAGATATGATTGTGAGGCAGGTAGTGACAGGTAATACACTGACGTATGAGTTAGATATGATTGTGAGGCAGGTAGTGACAGGTAATGCACTGACGTATGAGTTAGATATGAATGTGAGGCAGGTAGTGACAGGTAATGCACTGACGTATGAGTTAGATATGAATGTGAGGCAGGTAGTGACAGGTAATACACTGACGTATGAGTTAGATATGAATGTGAGGCAGGTACTGACAGGTAATACACTGACATATGAGTTAGATATGAATGTGAGGCAGGTAGTGACAGGTAATGCACTGATGTATGTGTTAGATATGAATGTGAGGCAGGTAGTGACAGGTAATACACTGACGTATGAGTTAGATATGAATGTGAGGCAGGTAGTGACAGGTAATACACAGACGTATGAGTAGATATGAATGTGAGGCAGGTAGTGACAGTTAATACACTGACGTATGAGTTAGATATGATTGTGAGGCAGGTAGTGACAGGTAATGCACTGACGTATGAGTTAGATATGAATGTGAGGCAGGTAGTGACAGGTAATGCACTGACGTATGAGTTAGATATGAATGTGAGGCAGGTAGTGACAGGTAATACACTGACGTATGAGTTAGATATGAATGTGAGGCAGGTAGTGACAGGTAATACACTGACATATGAGTTAGATATGAACGTGAGGCAGGTAGTGACAGGTAATGCACTGATGTATGTGTTAGATATGAATGTGAGGCAGGTAGTGACAGGTAATACACTGACGTATGAGTTAGATATGAATGTGAGGCAGGTAGTGACAGGTAATACACTGACGTATGAGTTAGATATGAATGTGAGGCTGGTAGTGACAGGTAATGCACTGACATATGAGTTAGATATGAATGTGAGGCAGGTAGTGACAGGTCATACACTGACGTATGAGTTAGATATGAATGTGAGGCAGGTAGTGACAGGTAATGCACTGACGTATGAGTTAGATATAAATGTGAGGCAGGTAGTGACAGGTAATGCACTGACGTATGAGTTAGATATGAATGTGAGGCAGGTAGTGACAGGTAACGCACTGACGTATGAGTTGCACACGGGAGCGGAGACGCGCAGCGAGTCCAGTTCAATAACGGGTTTCTCTCGACAGTGACGTGGACCTGTACAGCGCCACACAGCACACAGATGAGACACAGAGGAGACACAGGTGAGACACAGGTGAGACACAGATGAGGCTGGCAATTAGTGACCAGGTAAGGGAAACTACATTATATGTCTTGTTACATCCGACTGTGTGTGGGGCGCTTGTGTCGTAGAGTTGTAGAGGCAGGCGGTGTACTGGAGACGGGTCATAGTTTCAGTGTACATTGTTGGTATTAACCATTCACTATGTAGGACATAACAGCCAGTGGCGTCTTACAGGAATAAACAGACACATAAATATACATAGTGACTTCAACTACCAGTGAGCGTTACTCCAGTTGTATAGATCACACGTACTTCAGACATGTCCGTCAAAATAGCGACTTTAACCAACGTTTATGAAACCAGGCGAAGGTTTTCTGGAACATGTTGTCTGACCTATATTCTTATCAGCCAGTGTTACAAACAAGGCGTCCTCAGTTGTATGTATTTCTATGATTCGCTGACGGTGGAGGGAAGGAGTTATCGAGAGATGAAATATGCTCTTGCTGAATGACAGTGTACATTGGAGGGAAGGAGTTATCGAGAGATGAAATATACTCTTGCTGAATGACAGTGTACACTGGAGGGAAGGAGTTATCGAGAGATGAAATATACTCTTGCTGAATGACAGTGTACACTGGAGGGAAGGAGTTATCGAGAGATGAAATATACTCTTGCTGAATGACAGTGTACACTGGAGGGAAGGAGTTATCGAGAGATGAAATATACTAATGCTGAATGACAGTGTACACTGGAGGGAAGGAGTTATCGAGAGATGAAATATACTCTTGCTGAATGACAGTGTACACTGGAGGGAAGGAGTTATCGAGAGATAAAATATACTCTTGCTGAATGACAGTGTACACTGGAGGGAAGGAGTTATCGAGAGATGAAATATACTCTTGCTGAATGACAGTGTACAGTGGAGGGAAGGAGTTATCGAGAGATGAAATATACTCTTGCTGAATGACAGTGTACACTGGAGGGAAGGAGTTATCGAGAGATGAAATATACTCTTGCTGAATGACAGTGTACACTGGAGGGAAGGAGTTATCGAGGGATGAAATATACTCTTGCTGAATGACAGTGTACACTGGAGGGAAGGAGTTATCGAGAGATGAAATATACTCTTGCTGAATGACAGTGTACACTGGAGGGCAGGAGTTATCGAGGGATGAAATATACTCTTGCTGAATGACAGTGTACACTGGAGGGAAGGAGTTATCGAGAGATGAAATATACTCTTGCTGAATGACAGTGTACACTGGAGGGGAGGAGTTATCGAGAGATGAAATATACTCTTGCTGAATGACAGTGTACACTGGAGGGAAGGAGTTATCGAGAGATGAAATATACTCTTGCTGAATGACAGTGTACACTGGAGGGAAGGGGTTATCGAGAGATGAAATATACTCTTGCTGAATGACAGTGTACACTGGAGGGAAGGAGTTATCGAGAGATGAAATATACTCTTGCTGAATGACAGTGTACACTGGAGGGAAGGAGTTATCGAGAGATGAAATATACTCTTGCTGAATGACAGTGTACACTGGAGGGAAGGAGTTATCGAGAGATGAAATATACTCTTGCTGATGACAGTGTACACTGGAGGGAAGGAGTTATCGAGAGATGAAATATACTCTTGCTGAATGACAGTGTACACTGGAGGTAAGGAGTTATCGAGGATGAAATATACTCTTGCTGAATGACAGTGTACACTGGAGGGAAGGAGTTATCGAGAGATGAAATATACTCTTGCTGAATGACAGTGTACACTGGAGGGAAGGAGTTATCGAGAGATGAAATATACTCTTGCTGAATGACAGTGTACACTGGAGGGAAGGAGTTATCGAGAGATGAAATATACTCTTGCTGAATGACAGTGTACACTGGAGGGAAGGAATTATCGAGAGATGAAATATACTCTTGCTGAATGACAGTGTACACTGGAGGGAAGGAGTTATCGAGGGATGAAATATACTCTTGCTGAATGACAGTGTACACTGGAGGGAAGGAGTTATCGAGAGATGAAATATACTCTTGCTGAATGACAGTGTACACTGGAGGGAAGGAGTTATCGAGAGATGAAATATACTCTTGCTGAATGACAGTGTACACTTGAGGGAAGGAGTTATCGAGGGATGAAATATACTCTTGCTGAATGACAGTGTACACTTGAGGGAAGGGGTTATCGAGAGATGAAATATACTCTTGCTGAATGACAGTGTACACTGGAGGGAAGGAGTTATCGAGAGATGAAATATACTCTTGCTGAATGACAGTGTACACTGGAGGGAAGGAGTTATCGAGAGATGAAATATACTCTTGCTGAATGACAGTGTACACTGGAGGGAAGGAGTTATCGAGGGATGAAATATACTCTTGCTGAATGACAGTGTACAGTGGAGGGAAGGAGTTATCGAGAGATGAAATATACTCTTGCTGAATGACAGTGTACACTGGAGGGAAGGAGTTATCGTGAGATGAAATATACTCTTGCTGAATGACAGTGTACACTGGAGGGAAGGAGTTATCGAGAGATGAAATATACTCTTGCCGAATGACAGTGTACACTGGAGGGAAGGAGTTATCGAGAGATGAAATATACTCTTGCTGAATGACAGTATACACTGGAGCGAAGGAGTTATCGAGGGATGAAATATACTCTTGCTGAATGATAGTGTTCACTGGAGGGAAGGAGTTATCGTGAGATGAAATATACTCTTGCTGAATGACAGTGTACAGTGGAGGGAAGGAGTTATCGAGAGATGAAATATACCATTGCTGAATGACAGTGTACACTGGAGGGAAGGAGTTATCGAGAGATGAAATATACTCTTGCTGAATGACAGTGTACACTGGAGGGGAGGAGTTATCGAGAGATGAAATATACTCTTGCTGAACGACAGTGTACACTGGAGGGAAGGAGTTATCGAGATATGAAATATACTCTTGCTGAATGATAGTGTACACTGGAGGGAAGGAGTTATCGAGGGATGAAATATACTCTTGCTGAATGACAGTGTACACTGGAGGGAAGGAGTTATCGAGAGATGAAATATACTCTTGCTGAATGACAGTGTACACTGGAGGGAAGGAGTTATCGTGAGATGAAATATACTCTTGCTGAATGACAGTGTACACTGGAGGGAAGGAGTTATCGAGAGATGAAATATACTCTTGCCGAATGACAGTGTACACTGGAGGGAAGGAGCTATCGAGAGATGAAATATACTCTTGCTGAATTCCAAAGTCACGTGATCAACAGTTACTGCGTATTCCTGCCAGTCCTTTCCACAGTTCCCCCTTTCCTGGTCTTTATCAGGTGCAGAATATGACCTTCTGTTGTCATATATCATCAGGTGTTGACCTGTCTCTAACACAGGGGACCTTCGTGGTCTAGTGGTACAGCGTCCGCCTTGAGAGCATAATGTCCGGGGTTCGATCCCCGGCCCGTGTCATACCAAAAGATGGTACTTGTTGTTACCCTGTCTGGCGCTCGGCATTAAGGGGCCAAAACAAGGACTGGTCGGCTCGGAATCAGTAAACTGTGTCTGAGTGGGGTATTCATGGCATGGTATCTAGAATGGTGAGCTAGTACTATCAATCAGACCAGTATAAACAGCCACACACAAACACACACGCCCGCGCGTGCATGCACGTCGCAATATAATTGCAATAATCTTGTACGCGACGTTAACCCCATTTCACCTCACCACCTCACACCCATGGTACACCGTGTACCCAAGGGACCGGATGTCAAATCAATCCTTTGGTATCTACAATGTTATCATTGGTATGGCTGGCGACCCGTTTCACGGACATCACGGCAGATGACGTAAACACAACAAAGTTATGTCCCTTGCATTACAATTGGATGTGCTCGGTTAAGTTCGCTCGACAGCATGTGTGTGAGGTGGTGAGGTGAATCGAGCATGATCGAACAGTTTTAGGATCTCTAGGATAAACATGTGGACGACATTTCCAAAACGGTCGCATCGGTGACAAAAATGGTGTCCGATGCAATTCCCTATTAGACCTGTACTCGTGTTTGTTTAGGTGAACACTTGATTTGCCTTGTCGTGTGTTTTGTATGATTGGTGCCTGGGCTGGGGCAGGATACGCTCACATTTCGCGAACGCCTTCTTTCATCTCTGTTGTGTAGTGATTCAGTGACACATGCTGTTTGTACACGTGGACTGGGCTTTCAGAAAATGTCTTGTTTTGATTATGGAAGTGGGTTTGTCGCTTAGTAACCGAACAGGAAGCTTTCTGGTTTTTTTCCGTTGTTGTGTATGTTGTTTAAGGGTGCATTACTTACATCTGAACCCTTCCTGCCTTGTTGGCACAGATATCCCCACTTCCCACGGTCAAAGTATGCATCGTTATTTTCAGTCCGATCAACGCCCTTCTCACTGTGACACGTGACCTACTGACATGGCACATCATAGGTCAGGTAAGTTCTGTGATTGCTGTCTCCGTGTGATGAGTTCAAAACATAATATGACACCCAATGGCCATTTTAAATATGTGATTATTGCTTTTGTATGTGGTGTCAAGTTCCTGCTGTATTGAAGACGAATGTGACTTCCTTAACTTCAAGTAACGTACTTACATAGCAACGATAAGAGAAGTACATTGCTTCAAGTAACGTACTTACATTGCAGCTGATGAGAGAAGTACACTCTTCAAGTAACGTACTTACATAGCAGCTGATGAGAGAAGTACTTCAAGTAACGTACTTACATAGCAGCTGATGAGAGAAGTACTTCAAGTAACGTACTTACATAGCAGCTGATGAGAGAAGTACTTCAAGTAACGTACTTACATAGCAGCTGATGAGAGAAGTACTTCAAGTAACGTACTTACATAGCAGCTGATTAGAGAAGTACTTCAAGTAACGTACTTACATAGCAGCTGAGAGAAGTACTTCAAGTAACGTACTTACATTGCAGTTGATGAGAGAAGTACATTGCTTCAAGTGACGTACTTACATAGCAGCTGATGAGAGAAGTACATTGCTTCAAGTAACGTACATACATTGCAGCTGATGAGAGAAGTACATTGCTTCAAGTAACGTACTTACATAGCAGCTGAGAGAAGTACTTCAAGTAACGTTCTTACATTGCAGTTGATGAGAGAAGTACATTGCTTCAAGTGACGTACTTACATTGCAGTTGATGAGATGTACTTCAAGTAACGTACTTACATAGCAGCTGATGAGAGAAGTACTTCAAGTAACGTACATACATTGCAGCTGATGAGAGAAGTACATTGCTTCAAGTAACGTACTTACATAGCAGCTGAGAGAAGTACTTCAAGTAACGTACTTACATTGCAGTTGATGAGAGAAGTACATTGCTTCAAGTGACGTACTTACATAGCAGCTGATGAGAGAAGTACATTGCTTCAAGTAACGTACATACATTGCAGCTGATGAGAGAAGTACATTGCTTCAAGTAACGTACTTACATAGCAGCTGAGAGAAGTACTTCAAGTAACGTACTTACATTGCAGTTGATGAGAGAAGTACATTGCTTCAAGTGACGTACTTACATAGCAGCTGATGAGAGAAGTACATTGCTTCAAGTAACGTACATACATTGCAGCTGATGAGAGAAGTACATTGCTTCAAGTAACGTACTTACATAGCAGCTGAGAGAAGTACTTCAAGTAACGTACTTACATAGCAGCTGATGAGAGATGTACTTCAAGTAACGTACTTACATAGCAGCTGAGAGAAGTACTTCAAGTAACGTACTTACATAGCAGCTGATGAGAGAAGTACTTCAAGTAACGTACTTACATAGCAGCTGAGAGAAGTATTTCAAGTAACGTACTTACATAGCAGCTGATGAGAGAAGTACTTCAAGTAACGTACTAACATTGCAGCTGATGAGAGAAGTACTTCAAGTAACGTTCTTACATAGCAGCTGATGAGAGAAGTACTTCAAGTAACGTACTTACATTGCAGCTGATGAGAGAAGTACTTCAAGTAACGTACTTACATAGCAGCTGATGAGAGAAGTACTTCAAGTAACGTACTTACATAGCAGCTGAAGAGAGAAATACTTCAAGTAACGTACTTACATAGCAGCTGATGAGAGAAGTACTTCAAGTAACGTACTTACATAGCAGCTGATGAGAGAAGTACTTCAAGTAACGTACTTACATAGCAGCTGATGAGAGAAGTACTTCAAGTAACGTACTTACATAGCAGCTGATGAGAGAAGTACTTCAAGTAACTTACTTACATAGCAGCTGATGAGAGAAGTACATTGCTTCAAGTAACGTACTTACATAGCAGCTGATGAGAGAAGTACATTGCTTCAAGTAACGTACTTACATAGCAGCTGATGAGAGAAGTACTTCAAGTAACGTACTTACATAGCAGCTGATGAGAGAAGTACTTCAAGTAACATACTTACATAGCAGCTGATGAGAGAAGAACTTCAAGTAACGTACTTACATAGCAGCTGATGAGAGAAGTACTTCAAGTAACGTACTTACATAGCAGCTGATGAGGGAAGTACTTCAAGTAACGTACTTACATAGCAGCTGATGAGAGAAGTACTTCAAGTAACGTACTTACATAGCAGCTGATGAGAGAAGTACTTCAAGTAACGTACTAACATTGCAGCTGATGAGAGAAGTACTTCAAGTAACGTTCTTACATAGCAGCTGATGAGAGAAGTACTTCAAGTAACGTACTTACATTGTAGCTGATAAGAGAAGTACTTCAAGTAACGTACTTACATAGCAGCTGATAAGAGAAGTACTTCAAGTAACATACTTACATAGCAGCTGATGAGAGAAGTACTTCAAAGAACGTACTGACATAGCAGCTGGTGAGAGAAGTACTTCAAGTAACGTACTTACATAGCAGCTGATGAGAGAAGTACTTCAAGTAACGTACTTACATAGCAGCTGATGAGAGAAGTACTTCAAGTAACGAACTTTCATAGCAGCTGATTAGAGAAGTACTTCAAGTAACGTACTTACATAGCAGCTGATGAGAGAAGTACTTCAAATAACGTACTTACATAGCAGCTGGTGAGAGAAGTACTTCAAGTAACGTACTTACATAGCAGCTGATGAGAGAAGTACTTCAAGTAACGAACTTTCATAGCAGCTGATTAGAGAAGTACTTCAAGTAACGTACTTACATTGCAGCTGAAACATGATACATTATCTCATAGGTTTCGTCCATGTACGTTGTCACAGAGAAACACACACCTTTCCCCAGAATATATTAATGGAATATCTACAAGAAATGTCAATTCAACACTGGTCCTTCCCTTCTCTCCTGGGGCGGTTAATTATGTTCCGTTGCCTCCTCTGTGGATTCCTTAGGTTCGAATCCCCAGTTTCGCCATCGCGTTATCATGAATTAAACTGATAGAACCTAATCATCATTATCTATTTGTATTGGACTATTCTAATTAGTTAGCATAAGGAGAAAGGGTTCATAATTTTAAAGATGTTGAAATGGGTGTCTTTCCTTTCATTCCAATGTTTAAACATCTGCTTTTGTAACAACCTGTCAGTCTATCTTTAATTGTGTCTAATTGTGTCCAACTCCCAGTAATGAAATCCATCTATAAATGCTTGTATTGTGTGTACATCTTTCTCTGTATCTATATTGAAGGTATTCTTATTGTTTTGCAGGATCTGCCCCTATGGTGGTGTATACTCGCACTCGTAAGTTGACACTGAACTAACTTACGAATACATAGGACTAACTGCTGCTGTCTTGTGTACACACTGTGTAACTGAGGATGAACGCCATGTTATATACAATTATTCTCTTTATGCAAGTCAGCAGGAAATGTTTATCCCAAAGACAGTGAACCATCATTAGTTTTGTTTAGAAAAAACTGTCAATTATCAAACAATGATAAAATTTTGAAACTTTCTAATGTACGTGTTCTCAACAAATGTAAGTGTTATATAGGTAACCCTCAAATGGGTCGATTGGCCTTAATACCAACTGATCTGCCTGCAATAAAGACTAACTTACAGGATGCGACCTGAAGCAACAGTGTCATGACGTAACACAACAATTCGGGTATTACACCAAGCGAAGTTGTATTGGATAGTCTAGATCTTATTACCATTCAGGCATACATTGATAAACAAGCTCTGCTCTTATTTGGTAAACTGTGTCGATCTAGTTGCGACTTCTATTTCAAACAACTGTTTGTTGGCAGACTTGGGCAATACAAATGTCAACCAGACTTTGACAAAAGATGTTATAAATCTCTCTGTTTTAACATGCTGCGCCTTGTACATAAATACGATCTTTTCCATGTCTTGAATGATTACATAGATAATTGTAATGTTCCCAGTAAATGTAAATGGACTAGTCTTGTGAATGAAAAGATAAGAAATGTAGACTCTGTTAGGCTATTGAAACAAATGTGTGACCGACAGGAGCTGTTAAGATATACTGGTATCAGATCAGAAGGTCAACACAGGATTTGGCAACTTTCATTACGATGTCCTTCAAAGTTTTATGTTCTGTCTAATATGGTCAAAATAGGATGCTCCAAGATAGAATCGCGAGAATGTCATTGCGGAACTGTAGCCCATGACATAGTCAAACACATTTTTATGTCATGTACTATAAATATGCAAGAAAGAAATGAAATGTTCGAAAATATCTTTGATATCACAGAAGCGAATTCCTTTGTTGACCTTTGGTCAAATGATGATGATGTTATCATGTCTTTCCTCTTAGGCGGACTGCCTGATTGCATGAAAGACCTTGAGCTTGAGATATGGGGCGAAACTATGTTACTAGTCTCTCATTATGTTAACAAGTGGCAACACTTGTTCATACCCCCTTCACCATGACATGTAACTACTTTGTTTAGTTTTAATCTAATTCATGTATCTACAATTTATCTTATATAATGTATCTTCAGTACTGGAGGAAATAAAGACAATCTATCTATCTATCTTCAAGTAACATACTTACATAGCAGCTGATGAGAGAAGTACTTCAAATAACGTACTTACATAGCAGCTGGTGAGAGAAGTACTTCAAGTAACGTACTTACATAGCAGCTGATGTGAGAAGTACTTCAAGTAACGTACTTACATAGCAGCTGATGAGAGAAGTACTTCAAGTAACGAACTTTCATAGCAGCTGATTAGAGAAGTACTTCAAGTAACGTACTTACATTGCAGCTGAAACATGATACATTATCTCATAGGTTTCGTCCATGTGCGTTGTCACAGAGAAACACACACCTTTCCCCAGAATATATTAATGGAATATCTACAAGAAATGTCAACTCAACACTGGTCCTTCCCTTCTCTCCTGGGGCGGTTTATTACGTTCCGTTGCCTCCTCTGTGGATTCCTTAGGTTCGAATCCCCAGTTTCGCCATCGCGTTATCATGAATTAAACTGATAGAACCTAATCATCATTATCTATTTGTATTGGACTATTCTAATTAGTTAGCATAAGGAGAAAGGGTTCATAATTTTAAAGATGTTGAAATGGGTGTCTTTCCTTTCATTCCAATGTTTAAACATCTGTTTTTGTAACAACCTGTCAGTCTATCTTTAATTGTGTCTAATTGTGTCCAACTCCCAGTAATGAAATCCATCTATAAATGCTTGTATTGTGTGTACATCTTTCTCTGTATCTATATTGAAGGTATTCTTATTGTTTTGCAGGATCTGCCCCTATGGTGGTGTATACTCGCACTCGTAAGTTGACACTGAACTAACTTTCTAATGTACGTGTTCTCAACAAATGTAAGTGTTATACAGGTACCCCTCAAATGGGTCGATTGGCCTTAATACCAACTGATCTGCCTGCAATAAAGACTAACTTACAGGATGCGACCTGAAGCAACAGTGTCATGACGTAACACAACTATTCGGGTATTGTCATCAAAATCTACATGTCCGATGTGTGTCCCACCCGTGTAAACTCATTCGATGTATGTAAATATTCCAAAGCGGACTTTTATGTAAGTGACTCATTATGTTGTTTTTGCAGAATCAATGTCTCCACCGAGGTTGCCAGAACAACGAGCTCGTAAGTCAGTTTTCAATCTCTGTACAATTACTAACAGTTTGCTAGTTCTATCACGTATTTTGGTTTTGTGACAGAAAGTCATCTTCTATTTAAGCTGTCTATCTGACTGTGTATCCATGTGTACAGCATGTATCTATCGTAATATCTAGCAAATATTGGTCAATTTTGGCGTATTGTTTCGTATGAGTACACTATTCTTTGGTGTTCCTGTGGTCCACGACATCATCATTAGAAAAGCTATATCCTTTGTTTAATTTGTTTCTCAGTTTGTATTAATTCATTGGTCGGTTCATTTCCAATTAACCCAAGTCAGCAAAGGGCAGCACACAAACAAAACTACGTCGCCTCCCCTCACTCTTTTCTAATCATGTTTATACTTCAGTGTGGTCTCACATCTACTCTGTATTTATCACGAATTTAAAGTGTCCATTTCTGATGGTGATATCTTCATCTATACGATGTTGCAGAGTCGATGTCCCCACCGAGAATGTCAGAGCAACGAGCTCGTAAGTGAGAATACAAGTAACCTCAACTCATGCAGACCTTGATGCCCAGGATCACTGGTTATGTCTCTCTCATCAGCTGTTTGTTTATCATATATTTGTCTATTAACTATAAGCTACACGTATATAATGCCGCGTCTATAGTTTGATACTTAGAATACAACTGTCTTAAAAATTGATGTAATTATATCATTTCGATCTATTCAATATTTGTCCAACATCTTTCCCGGGATGTGAAGTGTAAATGTAGAATAGTTTTACCACTAAACATCATATTCATGCAGGACGTTTTCCTCATTTCACCTATTTCCGTTTTTGCAGAATCACAGTCCCCACCGAGAATGGGTTCCCTTCGAAAACGTAAGTCAAGATTAAACTAACTTGTACATCCGTCTATTAGAATTTCTTCCAATGATTACCCCGACTTTCCAAATGGTGATTGGATATGTGTGTCCATCACGTATGTAAAGCGTGAGTTTTTAAATGCCAACCTTTCATTTTGTCTGTTTGTTTGCAGAGTCCAAGTCTCCACCCAGAGTGAGAGAACAGCGAACTGGTGAGTCAGTTTTGAAGTCTCCACCCAGATTGAGAGAACAACGAGCTGGTGAGTCAGTTTTGAAGTCTCCACCCAGATTGAGAGAACAGCGAGCTGGTGAGTCAGTTTTCAAGTCTCCACCCAGAGTGAGAGAACAGCGAGCTGGTGAGTCAGTTTTCAAGTCTCCACCCAGAGTGAGAGAACAGCGAGCTGGTGAGTCAGTTTTCATGTCTCCGACAGATTGAGAGAACAGCCAGCTGGTGAGTCAGTTTTCAAGTCTCCACCCAGATTGAGAGAACAGCGAGCTGGTGAGTCAGTTTTCAAGTCTCCGACAGATTGAAAGAACAACCAGCTGGTGAGTCAGTTTTCAAGTCTCCACCCAGAGTGAGAGAACAGCGAGCTGGTGAGTCAGTTTTCAAGTCTCCACTCAGATTGAGAGAACAGCGAGCTGGTGAGTCAGTTTTCAAGTCTCCACCCAGAGTGAGAGAACAGCGAGCTGGTGAGTCAGTTTTCAAGTCTCCACCCAGATTGAGAGAACAGCGAGTTGGTGAGTCAGTTTTCAAGTCTCCGCCCAGATTGAGAGAACAGCGAGCTGGTGAGTCAGTTTTAAAGTCTCCACCCAGAGTGAGAGAACAGCGAGCTGGTGAGTCAGTTTTCAAGTCTCCGCCCAGATTGAGAGAACAGCGAGCTGGTGAGTCAGTTTTCAAGTCTCCATCCAGATTGAGAGAACAGCGAGCTGGTGAGTCAGTTTCCAAGTCTCCACCCAGATTGAGAGAACAGCGAGCTGGTGAGTCAGTTTTCAAGTCTCCACCCAGATTGAGAGAACAGCGAGCTGGTGAGTCAGTTTTCAAGTCTCCGACAGATTGAGAGAACAGCAAGCTGGTGAGTCAGTTTTCAAGTCTCCACCCAGATTGAGAGAACAGCGAGCTGGTGAGTAAGTTTTCAAGTCTCTGCCCAGAGTGAGAGAACAGCGAGCTGGTGAGTCAGTTTTCAAGTCTCCACCCAGATTGAGAGAACAGCGAGCTGGTGAGTCAGTTTTCAAGTCTCAACCCAGAGTGAGAGAACAGCGAGCTGGTGAGTCAGTTTTCAAGTCTCCACCCAGATTGAGAGAACAGCGAGCTGGTGAGTCAGTTTTCAAGTCTCCATCCAGATTGAGAGAACAGCGAGCTGGTGAGTCAGTTTTAAAGTCTCCACCCAGAGTGAGAGAACAGCGAGCTGGTGAGTCAGTTTTCAAGTCTCCACCCAGAGTGAGAGAACAGCGAACTGGTGAGTCAGTTTTGAAGTCTCCACCCAGATTGAGAGAACAACGAGCTGGTGAGTCAGTTTTGAAGTCTCCACCCAGATTGAGAGAACAGCGAGCTGGTGAGTCAGTTTTCAAGTCTCCACCCAGATTGAGAAAACAGCGAGCTGGTGAGTCAGTTTTCAAGTCTCCACCCAGATTGAGAGAACAGCGAGCTGGTGAGTCAGTTTTCAAGTCTCTGCCCAGAGTGAGAGAACAGCGAGCTGGTGAGTCAGTTTTGAAGTCTCCACCCAGGTTGAGAGAACAGCGAGCTGGTGAGTCAGTTTTCAAGTCTCCACCCAGAGTGAAAGAACAGCGAGCTGGTGAGTCAGTTTTCAAGTCTCCACCCAGATTGAGAGAACAGCGATCTGGTGAGTCCGTTTTCAAGTCTCCGACAGATTGAGAGAACAACCAGCTGGTGAGTCAGTTTTCAAATCTCAATCCAGAGTGAGAGAACAGCGAGCTGGTGAGTCAGTTTTCAAGTCTCCACCCAGATTGAGAGAACAGCGAGCTGGTGATTTAATTTTCAAGTCTCCACCCAGATTGAGAGAACAGCGAGCTGGTGAGTCAGTTTTCAAGTCTCCACCCAGATTGAGAGAACAGCGAGCTGGTGAATCAGTTTTAAAGTCTCTGGGGACTGACTGGGGACGCCGAGCAGTGTGGACGTGTTTCCGAGAGCTCTGATGAGCTTTGATGTACCCCAAGCTTACTAGCTTACTAGCATTTTTAGTGGAGATAAACATACTGCAGAATGAAAATGACACCATCACATGTGTAACATTGGACAACAGCTACATTTCCATGTGAACTTTATTCGATAATTGACGAATACAGCCCAAGGAATGAGTGCTGGTAGTTTGAGCGGAAATACTACTGGCCTTGACTGGCTCACCAGGTAATCTTTTCTTCTTCACCCTGCTGTGTTCCCCAGATTTGTCACTATGAGTGAATCATCGCCTACATATTGTACTCAACCCCCCGATTCCACTGATTATGCCATACTCCATGAACTTACTGATACCCTTGCTGAACACGACAAAGTAACATGTGAGAACAAGCTCATGGATGCTTACAAAAATGATGAAAAATACTTAAGTGACGTCAGATTCTCACTCTACGATATTGCAAAGAAAGAAAATAGTGATTTTCCAGAAGGTATACTTGCAAGACGTGTGCATCGTGGTGGACAAAAGGTTTCCAAGAAGTATGCATCTGACATCTATCTATTGTACAAATATATCAAAAGATGTATCCCTGGACATGTTGTTCAAAATGAAGTCCTCAGTCGTGTGAAACATCATGTACGCTCTAAAAGTATAAGCGGAGAACCCCTTGTCGGCAACGATAGTGTGTGTGGTGATCGGTCAAATAATGATGTAATGTGTGACATTGTGAGCAAACTTATTATGTTTCATGATGATCTGAAAGAACAGATGAAGTGTGTTAATGGTAAACTACAAGATTTTCAAGAGAGGTATGAGAGTGATATGAGACAACTAATAACAGCATGGGATGAGAAAAATAACGAAGTCAAAACGTATGCAGTAGAAGTGCAGAAGTTGACCTCCAGTCTTGAACGACAGAGCAGTGAGATTACATCACTAAATCGTGAACTGAAGGACAAAAGCTGTGAAAATATCTTACTGAAAGACAAGCTGTGCGAGACAATGTCATCAATCAACAAGCGAACAAGCGCAATCGATGGTAAAATAGACTGCATGAATACGAGGGATAAGCTACTCTACTCAGAAGCTGTCAAGAGTCCACCAGAAACTCGAATATCCCGCCATGAAAGGGAGATAACTGTTGACATCCACGCCCCAGCTGACCGCCTGTCTCCATCACCCCACGCACCAGCCCACAGCCAGTGTCCCCCGATCCAGGCCTCAGCTCAAGCCAAGCGTGTCACTCAACCCCCACAGACCAGGCACGCCGACACCCTGCAGATAACAAAGGATAACCAGTCCATTGAGGAACACATCGACACCAATGAACAGCGCACAGTTAACTTCTCCCAAGAATGGAAACGTGCATTCTCGGGGGCATCACGTACCAGAACTAAACGATTTGTATTGTCATATGTTTGTGCGAAACAGTCGTTTGATATTGTCCAAGATGCCATTACTAACTATGCCAAGGAAAGGGGTGTAATAATCCACAAGATCTCCCTACTGAAACACTGGCAGGGATATAATCCGACTTACACAATATCAATCAGTGTGTCGCCTCAGTGTGGAAAAATCATTCTTGATGATGATACGTTTTGGCCAGAAAATGTAAACTGCCGCGAGTGGGTGCCAAGGAAATTCTGGTATGGTCAGGACGAGGATAGTTCACGCACATTCCATAGCAATAAATAATTATGGGGAAATGTATTAAACTTCAAGTGATGCTACCATTACTTCTAATAATGCTCATAAGCAGACTTGCAACATGGAATATACGAGGCATCGTTAAAAGCGAGCATGAACTGTCTTCCAGATTAGACCACTGTGATCTAATGTTTGTGTGTGAAACATGGCTTGATAGACAGAATGAAGACACCCTGTATCACATTAACGACCAATTTGCAGTATTTACTAAATGTTCTGTGGGTTATCCCCAGGGTCACAGAGGCTTTGGGGGAGTGGCGATATTCGTCAGAAAATCAAAACAGTGCAAGGTCACACTTCTGGATACCAATAGCCAGGACCGTATGTTAGGTCTCAAACTTAAAACGAATGAAGAACTGATCTATGTCATTGGAACACATCTGCCATCTTCCAATGTTTTAGATAGTGTATATATAGACGCTCTTGACTTTACCATGGCGATGTATGATCAATATTCACACGAAGGTGACACTATTCTCCTGGGGGATTTTAATGTAGATCTGCGCAAACATCTTCAACCCACAAGAAAACGTGCGTCATATTTGCAAAGAGCACTCACTGAAAGAAATCTTATTTCTATTGTTCCTCTGGATAATCAGTCTCAATATACATTTTCAACAAAGAATAATTCTTCGAGAACTCTCATTGACTATGTTTTTGTACATAAAGAATACCTCCCTTGTGTAACTGGACATATGATTGACACTAGTGTGCCCTACAGTTTGTCTGATCACTTGCCTATAATTGTGTATCTTAATGTCGCCGGTTCCAGTAAACACTATGGTGGTGACAAGATTGACTGGAAAAAAGCAAGTGAAGTTGACTTGATGCTCTACCGGTATGAGACTGAGAACCATCTCCGAGAGACGTGCGTTGATGTGTCATGCTACTCAACTCCTGCAGAATATATCAACTCCTACAACGACTTTATCGTACAGGCACTCAGAGATTCATCAAACAACAGTATACCATGCTCCAGATATCGCTCGTACCTGAAACCATATAGGAAAAGAGATGGCTTGAAACCTCTCCATAATGAAATCAGACGATGTCGCGGACTCTGGCGTGACTCGGGAAAATCTCATAATATAGACGATGAACACTATAGAAAGTACAAAGACGCTAAACGTGAATTTCGAAAACGCCATCGCAGATCAAAACAACGCAGACTTGACGATAAACTCTGCGAAATATCGAAAGCTGCTGAAGTGGACATTAACGAATATGTGAAAGTGACTAAACGCTTATCGAGACAGAATGGACAAATGTCAAAACTAACTGTTAATGGGATTTCTTCAACGACGCCAGAGGACATATGCTCAGCGTTTGGCATGTATTTTGCTGATTTAGCTACACCTGTAATATCTGATTGTTTGATGAATCTTTTGCTTCTCATGTAACGGAAAGAGTAGAATTAATCGAAAGGATCTATAAAAATCCTGATGTGGAAAAGCTTAATACACTGCTATCCGATCCTTTTACCTCCCAAGAGGTTTGGTGTACTGTCAAGTCCTTGAAAATGGGAAAATCCCCTGGTCCAGACTGCCTAACTAATGAACACCTTAAACGTGCAGGTAGATCATTATTTGGCCATTTAACTACAATGTTCAATGCTATAATTAAATATGAACATATACCATCTTCTTATCACGTAGGCAAGATCTTACCAATTCACAAAGGTCGTGGTAAGAGCAAGTCTGAACCAAACAATTACAGAGGGATTACCTTAACATCTGTCCTCAGTAAGCTTTTTGAACGCCTCCTGCTCTTCAGAATTGAAAAGTGGGTAAACAGAAAGTGTGTTTTTCCGCAGCCGTTACAATTCGGATTTCGCAAAAATGCAGGGGCTGAAACAGCCTGCTTCAGCCTCCTCGAAAACATTGCATACTATACGGAAAGAAAATCAGTTGTTTATTGTGCATTTCTTGATAACGCAAAGGCATTTGATAGAGTATGGCTTGATGGCTTATTCGTTAAGTTATATGACATGGGTATAACTGGTAAAACATGGCGTCTTTTGCGTAATGCCTACTCGTCCATGCAATCATATGTTACATACGCAGGCTACAACTCAGATGTATTTTCTATCTATCAAGGTGTTGGTCAAGGACGTGTATTATCCGCCTGGCTCTTCACAGTGTATATCAATGATCTCATTTGCAAGCTTGATTGCTCTGGCTACGGCCTCCGCTTACCTTGGGGTCACTATCCAGGTCAACTGCTAGCAGACGATACAACCATTGTCAGTAGCTCTCCATCAGCACTGCAAAACCTGCTAGATATTGCTCACAATGATGCGTGTAGAGTGCGTCTGGTTTATAATGTGAATAAAAGTGCAGTCGTAGTATTTTCGCATTGTAAATATAATGTACCCGACCCTCATGTTTCCTGTGGAAAGATAGAATTGCCACACCAACATTTTGTTACGTATGCTGGTGTATGCCTTAGTGACAGTATCTCAACACTCGAACGCTCGCGTATTGCATGTGAAAAACTTAAAAGACTTATTAATGTAAATCATAACAATGGCTTGTATTTCGGTGGGTTGAACCCAATTGCAGCTGTGCGAATACTACAGAGAGTTATCTTGCCATGTGCCTTATATGGATGCAATGTATGGGGGCATCTCACTGGTAGAGAGTATGAATTGCTGGAAATACCACAGCGCTACTTCAGTAAAAAAGTACAGGGTCTACCAAGACTTACACCAAGCGAAGTTGTATTGGATAGTCTAGATCTTATTACCATTCAGGCATACATTGATAAACAAGCTCTGCTCTTATTTGGTAAACTGTGTCGATCTAGTTGCGACTTCTATTTCAAACAACTGTTTATTGGCAGACTTGGGCAATACAAATGTCAACCAGACTTTGACAAAAGATGTTATAAATCTCCCTGTTTTAACATGCTGCGCCTTGTACATAAATACGATCTTTTCCATGTCTTGAATGATTACATAGATAATTGTAATGTTCCCAGTAAATGTAAATGGACTAGTCTTGTGAATGAAAAGATAAGAAATGTAGACTCTGTTAGGCTATTGAAACAAATGTGTGACCGACAGGACCTGTTAAGATATACTGGTATCAGATCAGAAGGTGAACACAGGATTTGGCAACTTTCATTACGATGTCCTTCAAAGTTTTATGTTCTGTCTAATATGGTCAAAATAGGATGCTCCAAGATAGAATCGCGAGAATGTCATTGCGGAACTGTAGCCCATGACATAGTCAAACACATTTTTATGTCATGTACTATAAATATGCAAGAAAGAAATGAAATGTTCGAAAATATCTATGATATCACAGAAGCGAATTCCTTTGTTGACCTTTGGTCAAATGATGATGATGTTATCATGTCTTTCCTCTTAGGCGGACTGCCTGATTGCATGAAAGACCTTGAGCTTGAGATATGGGGCGAAACTATGTTACTAGTCTCTCATTATGTTAACAAGTGGCAACACTTGTTCATACCCCCTTCACCATGACATGTAACTACTTTGTTTAGTTTTAATCTAATTCATGTATCTACAATTTATCTTATATAATGTATCTTCAGTACTGGAGGAAATAAAGACAATCTATCTATCTATCTTCAAGTAACATACTTACATAGCAGCTGATGAGAGAAGTACTTCAAATAACGTACTTACATAGCAGCTGATGAGAGAAGTACTTCAAGTAACGTACTTACATAGCAGCTGATGTGAGAAGTACTTCAAGTAACGTACTTACATAGCAGCTGATGAGAGAAGTACTTCAAATAACGAACTTTCATAGCAGCTGATTAGAGAAGTACTTCAAGTAACGTACTTACATTGCAGCTGAAACATGATACATTATCTCATAGGTTTCGTCCATGTGCGTTGTCACAGAGAAACACACACCTTTCCCCAGAATATATTAATGGAATATCTACAAGAAATGTCAATTCAACACTGGTCCTTCCCTTCTCTCCTGGGGCGGTTAATTACGTTCCGTTGCCTCCTCTGTGGATTCCTTAGGTTCGAATCCCCAGTTTCGCCATCGCGTTATCATGAATTAAACTGATAGAACCTAATCATCATTATCTATTTGTATTGGACTATTCTAATTAGTTAGCATAAGGAGAAAGGGTTCATAATTTTAAAGATGTTGAAATGGGTGTCTTTCCTTTCATTCCAATGTTTAAACATCTGTTTTTGTAACAACCTGTCAGTCTATCTTTAATTGTGTCTAATTGTGTCCAACTCCCAGTAATGAAATCCATCTATAAATGCTTGTATTGTGTGTACATCTTTCTCTGTATCTATATTGAAGGTATTCTTATTGTTTTGCAGGATCTGCCCCTATGGTGGTGTATACTCGCACTCGTAAGTTGACACTGAACTAACTTTCTAATGTACGTGTTCTCAACAAATGTAAGTGTTATACAGGTACCCCTCAAATGGGTCGATTGGCCTTAATACCAACTGATCTGCCTGCAATAAAGACTAACTTACAGGATGCGACCTGAAGCAACAGTGTCATGACGTAACACAACAATTCGGGTATTGTCATCAAAATCTACATGTCCGATGTGTGTCCCACCCGTGTAAACTCATTCGATGTATGTAAATATTCCAAAGCGGACTTTTATGTAAGTGACTCATTATGTTGTTTTTGCAGAATCAATGTCTCCACCGAGGTTGCCAGAACAACGAGCTCGTAAGTCAGTTTTCAATCTCTGTACAATTACTAACAGTTTGCTAGTTCTATCACGTATTTTGGTTTTGTGACAGAAAGTCATCTTCTATTTAAGCTGTCTATCTGACTGTGTATCCATGTGTACAGCATGTATCTATCGTAATATCTAGCAAATATTGGTCAATTTTGGCGTATTGTTTCGTATGAGTACACTATTCTTTGGTGTTCCTGTGGTCCACGACATCATCATTAGAAATGCTATATCCTTTGTTTAATTTGTTTCTCAGTTTGTATTAATTCATTGGTCGGTTCATTTCCAATTAACCCAAGTCAGCAAAGGGCAGCACACAAACAAAACTACGTCGCCTCCCCTCACTCTTTTCTAATCATGTTTATACTTCAGTGTGGTCTCACATCTACTCTGTATTTATCACGAATTTAAAGTGTCCATTTCTGATGGTGATATCTTCATCTATACGATGTTGCAGAGTCGATGTCCCCACCGAGAATGTCAGAGCAACGAGCTCGTAAGTGAGAATACAAGTAACCTCAACTCATGCAGACCTTGATGCCCAGGATCACTGGTTATGTCTCTCTCATCAGCTGTTTGTTTATCATATATTTGTCTATTAACTATAAGCTACACGTATATAATGCCGCGTCTATAGTTTGATACTTAGAATACAACTGTCTTAAAAATTGATGTAATTATATCATTTCGATCTATTCAATATTTGTCCAACATCTTTCCCGGGATGTGAAGTGTAAATGTAGAATAGTTTTACCACTAAACATCATATTCATGCAGGACGTTTTCCTCATTTCACCTATTTCCGTTTTTGCAGAATCACAGTCCCCACCGAGAATGGGTTCCCTTCGAAAACGTAAGTCAAGATTAAACTAACTTGTACATCCGTCTATTAGAATTTCTTCCAATGATTACCCCGACTTTCCAAATGGTGATTGGATATGTGTGTCCATCACGTATGTAAAGCGTGAGTTTTTAAATGCCAACCTTTCATTTTGTCTGTTTGTTTGCAGAGTCCAAGTCTCCACCCAGAGTGAGAGAACAGCGAACTGGTGAGTCAGTTTTGAAGTCTCCACCCAGATTGAGAGAACAACGAGCTGGTGAGTCAGTTTTGAAGTCTCCACCCAGATTGAGAGAACAGCGAGCTGGTGAGTCAGTTTTCAAGTCTCCACCCAGAGTGAGAGAACAGCGAGCTGGTGAGTCAGTTTTCAAGTCTCCACCCAGAGTGAGAGAACAGCGAGCTGGTGAGTCAGTTTTCATGTCTCCGACAGATTGAGAGAACAGCCAGCTGGTGAGTCAGTTTTCAAGTCTCCACCCAGATTGAGAGAACAGCGAGCTGGTGAGTCAGTTTTCAAGTCTCCGACAGATTGAAAGAACAACCAGCTGGTGAGTCAGTTTTCAAGTCTCCACCCAGAGTGAGAGAACAGCGAGCTGGTGAGTCAGTTTTCAAGTCTCCACTCAGATTGAGAGAACAGCGAGCTGGTGAGTCAGTTTTCAAGTCTCCACCCAGAGTGAGAGAACAGCGAGCTGGTGAGTCAGTTTTCAAGTCTCCACCCAGATTGAGAGAACAGCGAGTTGGTGAGTCAGTTTTCAAGTCTCCGCCCAGATTGAGAGAACAGCGAGCTGGTGAGTCAGTTTTAAAGTCTCCACCCAGAGTGAGAGAACAGCGAGCTGGTGAGTCAGTTTTCAAGTCTCCGCCCAGATTGAGAGAACAGCGAGCTGGTGAGTCAGTTTTCAAGTCTCCATCCAGATTGAGAGAACAGCGAGCTGGTGAGTCAGTTTCCAAGTCTCCACCCAGATTGAGAGAACAGCGAGCTCGTGAGTCAGTTTTCAAGTCTCCACCCAGATTGAGAGAACAGCGAGCTGGTGAGTCAGTTTTCAAGTCTCCACCCAGATTGAGAGAACAGCAAGCTGGTGAGTCAGTTTTCAAGTCTCCACCCAGATTGAGAGAACAGCGAGCTGGTGAGTAAGTTTTCAAGTCTCTGCCCAGAGTGAGAGAACAGCGAGCTGGTGAGTCAGTTTTCAAGTCTCCACCCAGATTGAGAGAACAGCGAGCTGGTGAGTCAGTTTTCAAGTCTCAACCCAGAGTGAGAGAACAGCGAGCTGGTGAGTCAGTTTTCAAGTCTCCACCCAGATTGAGAGAACAGCGAGTTGGTGAGTCAGTTTTCAAGTCTCCGCCCAGATTGAGAGAACAGCGAGCTGGTGAGTCAGTTTTCAAGTCTCCACCCAGAGTGAGAGAACAGCGAGCTGGTGAGTCAGTTTTCAAGTCTCCACCCAGATTGAGAGAACAGCGAGCTGGTGAGTCAGTTTTCAAGTCTCCATCCAGATTGAGAGAACAGCGAGCTGGTGAGTCAGTTTCCAAGTCTCCACCCAGATTGAGAGAACAGCGAGCTGGTGAGTCAGTTTTCAAGTCTCCACCCAGATTGAGAGAACAGCGAGCTGGTGAGTAAGTTTTCAAGTCTCCGACAGATTGAGAGAACAGCGAGCTGGTGAGTCAGTTTTCAAGTCTCCACCCAGATTGCGAGAACAGCGAGCTGGTGAGTCAGTTTTCAAGTCTCCACCCAGATTGAGAGAACAGCGAGCTGGTGACTCAGTTTTTAAGTCTCTGCCCAGAGTGAGAGAACCGCGAGCTGGTGAGTCAGTTTTCAAGTCTCCACCCAGATTGCGAGAACAGCGAGCTGGTGATTCAGTTTTCAAGTCTCCACCCAGATTGAGAGAACAGCGAGTTGGTGAGTCAGTTTTCAAGTCTCCACCCAGAATGAGAGAACAGCGAACTGATGAGTCAGTTTTGAAGTCTCCATCCAGATTGAGAGAACAACGAGCTGGTGAGTCAGTTTTCAAGTCTCCACCCAGATTGAGAGAACAGCGAGCTGGTGATTCAAGTTTCAAGTCTCCACCCAGAATGAGAGAACAGCGAGCTGGTGAGTCAGTTTTCAAGTCTCTGCCCAGAGTGAGAGAACAGCGAGCTGGTGAGTCAGTTTTCAAGTCTCCACCCAGATTGAGAGAACAGCGAGCTGGTGAGTAAGTTTTCAAGTCTCCGCCCAGATTGAGAGAACAGCGAGCTGGTGAGTCAGTTTTCAAGTCTCCACTCAGATTGAGAGAACAGCGAGCTGGTGAGTCAGTTTTAAAGTCTCCACCCAGAGTGAGAGAACAGCGAGCTGGTGAGTCAGTTTTCAAGTCTCCATCCAGATTGAGAGAACAGCGAGCTGGTGAGTCAGTTTCCAAGTCTCCACCCAGATTGAGAGAACAGCGAGCTGGTGAGTCAGTTTTCAAGTCTCCATCCAGATTGAGAGAACAGCGAGCTGGTGAGTCAGTTTTAAAGTCTCCACCCAGAGTGAGAGAACAGCGAGCTGGTGAGTCAGTTTTCAAGTCTCCATCCAGATTGAGAGAACAGCGAGCTGGTGAGTCAGTTTCCAAGTCTCCACCCAGATTGAGAGAACAGCGAGCTGGTGAGTCAGTTTTCAAGTCTCCATCCAGATTGAGAGAACAGCGAGCTGGTGAGTCAGTTTTCAAGTCTCCACCCAGATTGAGAGAACAGCGAGCTGGTGAGTCAGTTTTCAAGTCTCCACCCAGATTGAGAGAACAGCGAGCTGGTGAGTAAGTTTTCAAGTCTCCGACAGATTGAGAGAACAGCGAGCTGGTGAGTCAGTTTTCAAGTCTCCACCCAGATTGATAGAACAGCGAGCTGGTGAGTAAGTTTTCAAGTCTCTGCCCGGAGTGAGAGAACAGCGAGCTGGTGAGTCAGTTTTCAAGTCTCCACCCAGATTGAGAGAACAGCGAGCTGGTGAGTCAGTTTTCAAGTCTCAACCCAGAGTGAGAGAACAGCGAGCTGGTGAGTCAGTTTTCAAGTCTCCACCCAGATTGAGAGAACAGCGAGCTGGTGACTCAGTTTTTAAGTCTCTGCCCAGAGTGAGAGAACCGCGAGCTGGTGAGTCAGTTTTCAAGTCTCCACCCAGATTGAGAGAACAGCGAGCTGGTGATTCAGTTTTCAAGTCTCCACCCAGATTGAGAGAACAGCGAGTTGGTGAGTCAGTTTTCAAGTCTCCACCCAGAATGAGAGAACAGCGAACTGATGAGTCAGTTTTGAAGTCTCCATCCAGATTGAGAGAACAACGAGCTGGTGAGTCAGTTTTCAAGTCTCCACCCAGATTGAGAGAACAGCGAGCTGGTGATTCAAGTTTCAAGTCTCCACCCAGAATGAGAGAACAGCGAGCTGGTGAGTCAGTTTTCAAGTCTCTGCCCAGAGTGAGAGAACAGCGAGCTGGTGAGTCAGTTTTCAAGTCTCCACCCAGATTGAGAGAACAGCGAGCTGGTGAGTCAGTTTTCAAGTCTCCACCCAGATTGAGAGAACAGCGAGCTGGTGAGTAAGTTTTCAAGTCTCCGACAGATTGAAAGAACAACCAGCTGGTGAGTCAGTTTTCAAGTCTCCACCCAGAGTGAGAGAACAGCGAGCTGGTGAGTCAGTTTTCAAGTCTCCACCCAGAGTGAGAGAACAGCGAGCTGGTGAGTCAGTTTTCAAGTCTCCCCCCAGATTGAGAGAACAGCGAGCTGGTGAGTCAGTTTTCAAGTCTCCACCCAGAGTGAGAGAACAGCGAGCTGGTGAGTCAGTTTTCAAGTCTCCACCCAGATTGAGAGAACAGCGAGCTGGTGAGTCAGTTTTCAAGTCTCCACCCAGATTGAGAGAACAGCGAGCTGGTGAGTAAGTTTTCAAGTCTCCACCCAGATTGAGAGAACAGCGAGCTGGTGAGTAAGTTTTCAAGTCTCCGACAGATTGAGAGAACAGCGAGCTGGTGAGTAAGTTTTCAAGTCTCCACCCAGATTGAGAGAACAGCGAGCTGGTGAGTCAGTTTTCAAGTCTCCACCCAGAGTGAGAGAACAGCGAACTGGTGAGTCAGTTTTCAAGTCTTTACCCAGATTGAGAGAACAGCGAGCTGATGAGTCAGTTTTCAAGTCTCCACCCAGATTGAGAGAACAGCGAGCTGGTGAGTCAGTTTTCAAGTCTCTGCCATCTGGTGTTTTACTCACATTCAATACATTCAGCAACATTGTCATGTATGTCAGGTACCGAAACTCTCCGGTTTCCACGCTGCTTCCACATGCATCAATGTCGATTCATTCGCTCCCTCGCTTTGTTGACAGTTCTGTTTTTGCTAACTAACAAAATTATCTAATTTAACTGAATGTTTTGTTATTTAATGTTTCTGGTTTTACAGAATCCAAGTCCCCGCCGAGACTTGCCGAAGAAGACGGGGCTCGTAAGTATTGACTAGCCTTTACAAACGTTAGCGCGTAGCTGAAGGCTCAGATTCAGTGGGCGTCATCAGGGTATGTGTACTACAATTATACCCCGATAATGTAGCGTAACACACTATACAGTAGTGTTGTCAGATCTACACCTGCAGACTCCTTCTGTCTTGTCTGCAAAGTGAAACTGTTGATCATATTGGCGGCTGTGCTGCTCGTGGAACTCCAGCAGTCAGCCAGGTTGTATGACAGATGGAGGACGACTGACTTTATAACAGCTGTGATTACAAGAGGGCTCACTGCTCCTTCTGTCTTGTCTGCTAAGTGAAACTGTTGACCATATTGGCGGCTGTGCTGCTCGTGGAACTCCAGCAGTCAGCCAGGTTGTATGACAGATGGAGGACGACTGACTTTATAACAGTTGTGATTACAAGAGGGCTCACTGCTCCACCGTGTGTTTGATGTGAGAGGAATGTGCTCTTCCTGTATTCGTAGGTTTCCTGTAGGTGGCCGTGGTCCACGACAAGCATGTCCTGCCTCCTTGTCTCCTGAGTTTGTGTCCACTGGGTCACTAGACCTGCCATGTGTTGACAGTCCTGTAACCACCCACTTCAATAGTTTCTATGAACGATATCACATTCAAAAGTCAAATCATCAAATTGTTTGATAGGCATCACTTAATGTTGACAGATGACAAAGTGGACACAATTAAGTTATATGGATAACAACGTCCGCATTTACAGTAATTAAAGAAGTTGTGATCCATAAATTGTGTTTATTTAGCAAATCATCAATAGTTATGTGAGCAGACTTACTCCCAGACAGTATTGCTTTCTTACAGATAAATGTTTTTCACATATGTCACAAAATATAATAGAACAGGAAAATACAGATTTCACTTAATTACATATATTGGCATATGTATGGTATTAATATACCTATCTTCAAACAACATATTGCAGTATTAATGTACCTATCTTCAAACAACATACTGCAAGTATTAATATACCTATCTTCAAACAACATACTGCAAGTATTAATATACCTATCTTCAAACAGCATACTGCAAGTATTAATATACATATCTTCAAACAACATACTGCAGCATTAATATACCTATCTTCAAACAGCATACTACAAGTATTAATATACCTATCTTCAAACAACATACTGCAAGTATTAATATATATATCTTCAAACAGCATACTGCAAGTATTTATATACCTATCTTCAAACAGCATACTACAAGTATTAATATACCTATCTTCAAACAACATACTGCAAGTATTAATATACCTATCTTCAAACAACATACTGCAAGTATTAATATACCTATCTTCAAACAGCATACTGCAAGTATTAATATACATATCTTCAAACAACATACTGCAGCATTAATATACCTATCTTCAAACAGCATACTACAAGTATTAATATACCTATCTTCAAACAACATACTGCAAGTATTAATATATATATCTTCAAACAACATACTGCAAGTATTTATATACCTATCTTCAAACAGCATACTACAAGTATTAATATACCTATCTTCAAACAACATACTGCAAGTATTAATATACCTATCTTCAAACAGCATACTGCAAGTATTAATATACATATCTTCAAACAACATACTGCAGCATAAATATACCTATCTTCAAACAGCATACTACAAGTATTAATATACCTATCTTCAAACAACATACTGCAAGTATTAATATATATATCTTCAAACAGCATACTGCAAGTATTTATATACCTATCTTCAAACAGCATACTACAAGTATTAATATACCTATCTTCAAACAACATACTGCAAGTATTAATATACCTATCTTCAAACAGCATACTGCAAGTATTAAAACCTATCTTCAAACAGCATACTGCAAGTATTAATATACCTATCTTCAAACAGCATACTGCAAGTATTAATATACCTATCTTCAAACAACATACTGCAAGTATTAATATACCTATCTTCAAACAGCATACTACAAGTATTAATATACCTATCTTCAAACAACATACTGCAAGAATTAATATACCTATCTTCAAACAGCATACTACAAGTATTCATATACCTATCTTCAAACAACATACTGCAAGTATTAATATACTATCTTCAAACATCATACTGCAAGTATTAAAATACCTATCTTCAAACAACATACTGCAAGTATTAATGTACCTATCTTCAAACATCATACTGCAAGTATTAATATACCTATCTTCAAACAACATACTGCAAGTATTAATATACCTATCTTCAAACAGCATACTGCAAGTATTAATATACCTATCTTCAAACAACATACTGCAAGTATTAATATACCTATCTTCAAACATCATACTGCAAGTATTAATATACCTATCTTCAAACAACATACTGCAAGTATTAATATATCTATCTTCAAACAACATACTGCAAGTATTAATATACCTATCTTCAAACAACATACTGCAAGTATTAATATACCTATCTTCAAACATCATACTGCAAGTATTAATATACCTATCTTCAAACATCATACTGTAAGTATTAATATACCTATCTTCAAACAGCATACTGCAAGTATTAATATACCTATCTTCAAACAACATACTACAAGTATTAATATACCTATCTTCAAACAGCATACTGCAAGTATTAATATACCTATCGTCAAACAACATACTGCAAGTATTAACATACCTATCTTCAAACATCATACTGCAAGTATTAATATACCTATCTTCAAACAGCATACTGCAAGTATTAATATACCTATCTTCAAACAACATACTGCAAGTATTAATATACCTATCTTCAAACAACATACTGCAAGTATTAATATACCTATCTTCAAACAACATACTGCAAGTATTAATATACCTATCTTCAAACAGCATACTACAAGTATTAATATACCTATCTTCAAACAACATACTGCAAGAATTAATTTACCTATCTTCAAACAGTATACTACAAGTATTAATATACCTATCTTCAAACAACATACTGCAAGTATTAATATAGTATCTTCAAACATCATACTGCAAGTATTAAAATATCTATCTTCAAACAACATACTGCAAGTATTAATGTACCTATCTTCAAACATCATACTGCAAGTATTAATATACCTATCTTCAAAGAACATACCGCAAGTATTAATATACCTATCTTCAAACAGCATACTGCAAGTATTAATATACCTATCTTCAAACAACATACTGCAAGTATTAATATACCTATCTTCAAACAACATACTGCAAGTATTAATATACCTATCTTAAAACAACATACTGCAAGTATTAATATACCTATCTTCAAACAACATACTGCAAGTATTAATATACCTATCTTCAAACAGAATACTGCAAGTATTAATATACCTATCGTCAAACAACATACTGCAAGTATTAATATACCTATCTTCAAACAACATACTGCAAGTATTAATATACCTATCTTCAAACAGAATACTGCAAGTATTAATATACCTATCGTCAAACAACATACTGCAAGTATTAATATACCTATCGTCAAACAAGACACTGCAAGTATTAATATACCTATCGTCAAACATCATACTGCAAGTATTAATATACCTATCGTCAAACAACATACTGCAAGTATTAGTATACCTATCTTCAAACATCATACTGCAAGTATTAATATACCTATCTTCAAACAACATACTGCAAGTATTAATATATCTATGTTCAAACATCATACTGCAAGTATTAATATACCTATCTTCAAACAGCATACTGCAAGTATTAATATACCTATCTTCAAACAACATACTGCAAGTATTAATATACCTATCTTCAAACAGCATACTGCAAGTATTAATATACCTATCGTCAAACAACATACTGCAAGTATTAACATACCTATCTTCAAACATCATACTGCAAGTATTAATATACGTATCGTCAAACAACATACTGCAAGTATTAATATACCTATCGTCAAACAACATACTGCAAGTATTAATATACCTATCGTCAAACAACATACTGCAAGTATTAGTATACCTATCTTCAAACAACATACAGCAAGTCCCCCTCTCCTCGTTTACATAACACAGAACCCAACACGCCCCTTTAAACCAGGGGGCACTCTCCACAAGGTCACCCATCAGAGTTAACTCCCTTCGAGTCTTCCTTATCCTTCTCACTGGTACAACGCCCGGGTTTGCAATGCCGAATTCGTTGTCATTTAACGTCTGACTCAAACATATTTACAATTGTATTGTCATTTTGGTAACGTAATGTTTTTTAAAATAATTTTGCATTTCACATTTGTTTTAACCATCTCGTTGTGCGTCAGCATCTCCTCTAATAACCTGACTCTATGTTTCCGACTTGCAGAGTCAACGTCTCCACCGAGGTCCAGATCTAGAGGTCACCATCGTCCAAGAGGTAAATCAGTCTTGTAACAAGACCAGATTCTAAATAGTGAATAAGATATTTCAGAAGTACATGTAACGTGATTGAAGTAGGTGATGTGACTGACGGTCACGTCACCCGCAGCCGAATCTACAGGTCACTGCACAGATGTTGTAGTAGAAGGTTTGAAGGCAATCTGGGAATTCCCTGGCATAAATACATACAGAAGCGTTGTTTCTGAACATTGGACCCTTTAATCTTCAACTCGGCGTTTTTACTTACATTTAGAAACGTCGGAGACTTTGACTGAATGATCTTGCGCGAATATCCTCGCTAGGACCCATACTAGTGAACAAAACGAAGAAATGCACATCCAAAATATAGTCGAACCGTATCTAGACTGAAAGTGACAGGCAACAACAATCAGTGAATGTACCTCAGTATCTATTTGACACATCTCTATAATCCCCTTTCAATGATCGGCCAATTGATCAATGGTGATCAACACGTGTAACAACTTGGGAAATGTCTCCCTTCACATTTATCGTGTCGGCCATTTTGACGTCTGGAACTTGGTGTAAATGGATTACGATGAGCTGTCATTCTGACTGACTTACTGAGGTAGTTCTTAACATACCTTTCTCATCTAGGGTGATATTATTTGAATACATTTGTTGTAATGAAACTACAAAAGAGGTCACTGTAGAATACAAAGGCTCATGTCATCTCGACTCTAAAGGAACTACTTCCGCGATACAGCTGGTTGTTGTACGGCCGTCAGTGTAAACACGAAGTCAATTAAACATACTAAATATTATTTCGTGAAAAGATCTTACATCCTTCGAGGTAAAAATAGTGATGTAATAAATTATGAGAGTTGACTTACTGTGTGTGTAAGTTCTCTGAAGTATGAACCTTCATAGAGTGAGGGCCAAACTGTATGCACGTTGTCGCAAGCTCCGACGAACGTACACAACTGAAAGTCAGTTCTCATATCAAATCATATAGACGTAAGATATCATCGTGTGTCGTAAACGATATTTTAGAAAGACGCGAGAAAACAAGCGAAACAAACGCCTCCTTAAGTTTAGCTTTCCAAACTGAGTCTCTGAATGACATTTAGAAGTGATACACATAACGAAGAGAGTCAAGATCTTGAGTGTGGGGAACACCATGTTCCTAATGATAAAGAAGTTGACATCCATACATTCCCTTCCTTATGAAAAACACATTTGGAAATTGGCAGAAAATTCGAGCTTTTAAGGTTTCTATCTCCTAAAGCATTTTTTTGCTGAAATGAGACGCTTTCGAGCTTTATAAATTCCATCTTTCTAAAACGGTGCACTAAAGTAAAGAGTTGGAAGCGGCGAAGAGCTTCAGAGCTTTCTATATTTCAAAAAATAAGTTTGTAAGATGAATTGTCAAGTGTTACCCGGACCACTTGAACACAGGCAGAAAGGAACGGCGATTCTTCATCATCGATGTTATATAAGTTTGTAAGATGAACTGTCAAGTGTTACCCGGACCACTTGAACACAGGCAGAAAGAGAACGGCGATTCTTCATCATCGATGTTATCGTTTGTGATGAGATAGCAGCCGCCGACGCCACGACTAGCCACACAATCCCCCGCTACTGTCGATGATCTGGGCCCGTCTCCCTGTTTGACGATGTCGGTCAGATTTTGTTGGTAGATGTATTGCATAACGTTGGTCAAGATCAGTGACCAACATACTTCCGGCGATATAAAGGGGTGTTAACTGACAATTACAGACGGGTATTTGGAGAAAGGAATTTTGAAGAAACCTAATGAACTGGTTTCCAGCATGACATTCATATTAAATAAATATGTCACGTGTTTCCTAATCTTAATACAGAGATGTAGAAGTATTAGTAAAACAGTATTTACACTCCTGTGGATTCAAAATAACAAAATGATTTATTGAAAGAGGGAAACTATTTCTATATCGTTTGTGATTAGACGCACGTCTGCAGTACAGTACATCGATAGGTATCACTGCCAGTCACACCATCAGAATAATATGGACCAATCTGGGGCTCGGACACGCGATCACAGGATCCTGGTGCGACCAAGAAACGCAACCCTACACATAGAGCTGCAGTGTCTAAGACAGTTGCGCCATGGCAATATATATGATTAACACTATTATGACGAATTTCCTTCAGGCATTATCTTTAGTTTTAATCCCAAAAGTATTTTTAGCAGTTTCATAAATATTATGGCAAATCTAGGGATAATGGCAACGTCTCAGAATGAATATTGGTGTATTGATAAAACCAGGTACCAGTGATCACTACAGTGACGTTGTTGTAATCAAATTCCCCTGGCACAATGTATGAAGTGACACTGACAAACAGACACTATGTATGAAGTGACCCTAACAAACAGACACTATGTATGAAGTGATCCTGACAAACAGACACTATGTATGAAGTGACCCTGACAAACAGACATTATGTATGAAGTGACCCTGACAAACAGACACAATGTATGAAGTGACCCTGACAAACAGATACTATGTATGAAGTGACCCTGACAAACAGACACTATGTATGAAGTGACCCTGACAAACAGACACTATGTATGAAGTGACCCTGACAAACAGACACTATGTATGAAGTGACCCTGACAAACAGACACTATGTGTGAAGTGACACTGACAAACAGACACTATGTATGAAGTGACCCTGACAAACAGACACTATGTATGAAGTGACCCTGACAGACACTATGTATGAAGTGACCCTGACATAGGGTATGATACACATAACGAAAAGAGTCAAGATCTTGAGTGTGGGGAACACCATGTTCCTAATGATAAAGAAGTTGACATCCATACATTCCCTTCCTTATGAAATACACATTTGGAAATTGGCAGAAAATTCGAGCTTTTAAGGTTTCTATCTCCTAAAGCATTTTTTTGCTGAAATGAGACGCTTTCGAGCTTTATAAATTCCATCTTTCTAAAACGGTGCACTAAAGTAAAGAGTTGGAAGCGGCGAAGAGCTTCAGAGCTTTCTATATTTCAAAAAATAAGTTTGTAAGATGAATTGTCAAGTGTTACCCGGACCACTTGAACACAGGCAGAAAGAGAACGGCGATTCTTCATCATCGATGTTATCGTTTGTGATGAGATAGCAGCCGCCGACGCCACGACTAGCCACACAATCCCCCGCTACTGTCGATGATCTGGGCCCGTCTCCCTGTTTGACGATGTCGGTCAGATTTTGTTGGTAGATGTATTGCATAACGTTGGTCAAGATCAGTGACCAACATACTTCAGGCGATATAAAGGGGTGTTAACTGACAATTACAGACGGGTATTTGGAGAAAGGAATTTTGAAGAAACCTAATGAACTGGTTTCCAGCATGACATTCATATTAAATAAATATGTCACGTGTTTCCTAATCTTAATACAGAGATGTAGAAGTATTAGTAAAACAGTATTTACACTCCTGTGGATTCAAAATAACAAAATGATTTATTGAAAGAGGGAAACTATTTCTATATCGTTTGTGATTAGACGCACGTCTGCAGTACAGTACATCGATAGGTATCACTGCCAGTCACACCATCAAAATAATATGGACCAATCTGGGGCTCGGACACGCGATCACAGGATCCTGGTGCGACCAAGAAACGCAACCCTACACATAGAGCTGCAGTGTCTAAGACAGTTGCGCCATGGCAATATATATGATTAACACTATTATGACGAATTTCCTTCAGGCATTATCTTTAGTTTTAATCCCAAAAGTATTTTTAGCAGTTTCATAAATATTATGGCAAATCTAGGGATAATGGCAACGTCTCAGAATGAATATTGGTGTATTGATAAAACCAGGTACCAGTGATCACTACAGTGACGTTGTTGTAATCAAATTCCCCTGGCACAATGTATGAAGTGACACTGACAAACAGACACTATGTATGAAGTGACCCTAACAAACAGACACTATGTATGAAGTGATCCTGACAAACAGACACTATGTATGAAGTGACCCTGACAAACAGACATTATGTATGAAGTGACCCTGACAAACAGACACAATGTATGAAGTGACCCTGACAAACAGATACTATGTATGAAGTGACCCTGACAAACAGACACTATGTATGAAGTGACCCTGACAAACAGACACTATGTATGAAGTGACCCTGACAAACAGACACTATGTATGAAGTGACCCTGACAAACAGACACTATGTGTGAAGTGACACTGACAAACAGACACTATGTATGAAGTGACCCTGACAAACAGACACTATGTATGAAGTGACCCTGACAGACACTATGTATGAAGTGACCCTGACATAGGGTATGATACACATAACGAAAAGAGTCAAGATCTTGAGTGTGGGGAACACCATGTTCCTAATGATAAAGAAGTTGACATCCATACATTCCCTTCCTTATGAAATACACATTTGGAAATTGGCAGAAAATTCGAGCTTTTAAGGTTTCTATCTCCTAAAGCATTTTTTTGCTGAAATGAGACGCTTTCGAGCTTTATAAATTCCATCTTTCTAAAACGGTGCACTAAAGTAAAGAGTTGGAAGCGGCGAAGAGTTTCAGAGCTTTCTATATTTCAAAAAAATAAGTTTGTAAGATGAATTGTCAAGTGTTACCCGGACCACTTGAACACAGGCAGAAAGGAACGGCGATTCTTCATCATCGATGTTATATAAGTTTGTAAGATGAACTGTCAAGTGTTACCCGGACCACTTGAACACAGGCAGAAAGAGAACGGCGATTCTTCATCATCGATGTTATCGTTTGTGATGAGATAGCAGCCGCCGACGCCACGACTAGCCACACAATCCCCCGCTACTGTCGATGATCTGGGCCCGTCTCCCTGTTTGACGATGTCGGTCAGATTTTGTTGGTAGATGTATTGCATAACGTTGGTCAAGATCAGTGACCAACATACTTCCGGCGATATAAAGGGGTGTTAACTGACAATTACAGACGGGTATTTGGAGAAAGGAATTTTGAAGAAACCTAATGAAC